AATGTAGTCGGCGTTTCCCCCACTGAATCAACGATGTAGGCTGCTTCAAAATCCATTGCAGCCGCTGACACATGCTCAAGCGACGGACCTCTGTATGTTCTTCGCTTGGGACTTGGAATGACGGTAGCTTTCTCAAGTGATTGAGTGCGCGTGTGTCTCTTGATGTTGCTCTTCGAAGACCTGGTGTCTTCGTTGTCATCGTCGCTCGAGTCCATGTCGTCGTCAGTTTTACCTTCTTCTTTTTCTTCGTCCTCATCATGATCATCAAACTCAACGACACTTGACTCATCGTTGTAGTTGCGCGTGATGAACTTTAGACTTCTTGGTCCGAGTGCAAAACGCAAAGTGAATATATATTTATAATAGGTACTTAGTTCGCAACTTTGAATACTACCTCTAAGCCTATTATTCGCAGTGACGTCATCCAGTGACGTCACCCACTGACGTCACCCACTGACGTCATGCAATGACGTCATCCAGTGACGTCATTTCCTGACTTCGCCCTTACTGGTACATACCGGTACCCACCGGTATAGCGAGGCTTGGTCTTCCACTTGCTTCAACACTTGACGCAGCTTGACGAGGTGTCTTCTTCACAGCCGCTGTCTTTTCAACACTCCCTCTCGACTCGTTAGCTGCGGCACCTTGGATCCCAAGTCGATCGCGAATGTTTTCAAATTGTACAGCGGCGATCGGCTTGGTCATCATGTCTGCCAGCATATCTTGAGTCGGGCAATACTCCAAAACGACTTCACCTGATTCCACCTTCTCACGCACAAAATGGTAGCGTATGTCGATGTGTTTTGTTCTCTTATGGAACTCCGGGTTCTTGGCGAGAGCGATTGATCCTTGGTTGTCTTCATACATCTTGATCGCTTCGTCGCTTGTCATCTCACCAAGTTCCCCCAAAAGCACTTTGAGCCATACTGCTTCTTTGGTTGCTTCGGAAAGCGCCATGTATTCTGCTTCTGTTGAAGATAGCGCGACCGTCCGTTGTTTCTGGCTTTTCCAGCTGATGCATCCTCCGCTCATCATGAACACATAGCCGCTTGTACTTCGTCTTGACTCAATGTCGCCGGCCCAGTCTGCGTCGGTGTACCCGCAGATACGGCTTCCTTCTTCACGTGTAAACTCAAGACCATGATTGGGCGTTGCTTGCAGGTATCTCAGCACACGCTTCAAAGCTTGCCAGTGAGTCGGGCATGGGTCGGACGAGAACTGGGATAATGATCCCACTGCAGCAGCTAGATCCGGACGTGTGGCGACCATGAGATACATGATGCCTCCGACAGCACTTCGATATGGCACGTTGCACATGGTGTCTTCGTGCTTGCATTCTTGTTCACACATGTTCTTGGTTAGCTTCAGGCCGGGATCTTGAGGCGTCTTCACTGGCTTGCTGTTATCCATTCCGAACTTGGTTAACACGGACTTGAGAAACTTGGTTTGTTGTACAGTCACCATTCCCGTCTTACGGTCGTTCTTGATCTCCATGCCGAGAAAGTAATCGAGCTCACCGAGATCCGTCATTTCGAAGCGTTTGCTCAGCGCCATCTTGGTTGACTTGAGGAGTTCGTTGTTGCTGCTGGCCAGGATGAGATCATCGACGTAGAGCACCACGAGAATCATGTCTTGGTCGTCTCGCTTGATGTAGATGCAGTGGTCCGATTCGCACTTCTTGAATCCCATCTTGATCATGAACCCATCGATTGTTTGGTTCCACATGCGAGGCGATTGCTTCAAGCCGTAGAGTGATCTCTTTAGCTTGCACACATAGTCCGGCTGTGTTGCATCCAGGTATCCGTCCGGCTGGTCCATGTAGATGTCTTCGTTGAGGGAGCCGTTAAGAAACGCTGTCTTGACGTCCATCTGATGTAGCATTAGGCCGTACTTAGCCGCCATACTGAGCACCACACGAATCGATGTGAACTTGGCCACCGGTGCGAAAGTTTCTTCATAGTCAACTCCGAATTTCTGTGAGAATCCTTTGGCCACAAGTCTTGCCTTGAAACGTTCAACTTCGCCATCTTGATTCTCCTTTACACGAAAAACCCATCGGCACCCGATGGCCTTGCGACCTTTCGGAAGAGGCACGATTTCCCACGTGTCGTTTCTCTGAAGCGAGTCGAACTCCGAGTCACACGCTTCTTTCCACTTGCCGGAGTCGCTTGATTCCATCGCCGACTTGAATGTAGTCGGCGTTTCCCCCACTGAATCAACGATGTAGGCTGCTTCAAAATCCATTGCAGCCGCTGACACATGCTCAAGCGACGGACCTCTGTATGTTCTTCGCTTGGGACTTGGAATGACGGTAGCTTTCTCAAGTGATTGAGTGCGCGTGTGTCTCTTGATGTTGCTCTTCGAAGACCTGGTGTCTTCGTTGTCATCGTCGCTCGAGTCCATGTCGTCGTCAGTTTTACCTTCTTCTTTTTCTTCGTCCTCATCATGATCATCAAACTCAACGACACTTGACTCATCGTTGTAGTTGCGCGGACCTTCATCAAACTTGTCTTCCATGAATGTGGCATCGCGACTGATCTTGATCGCTCCTGTTGACACTTCCTCAAATCGATATGACTTCTGGTGTTCGGCGTATCCCAGGAAACGACAGAGTGATGACTTGGAGTCGAACTTCGCGCGTTTGTCTTGAGGCACTTGAACATACGCGTGGCATCCAAACACTTTAAGGTTGGCCAGAATCGGTTTCTTCATCGTCCACACTTGATATGGAGACTTGTCTTGGTGAATGGCACGTGTTGGACAGCGGTTTCGAAGAAACATCGCCGTCATCACTGCTTCACCCCAGTAGCTCTTTCCCAGTCCAGCGTGTTCCATCATGCAACGCGCACACTCGACCAGCGTGCGATTCATTCTCTCAGCTACTCCGTTTAGCTGAGGAGTATATGGGGGTGTGAACCTTTGTTGTATTCCCCGTTCCGCGCAGAATCGTGCCAGCTTGTCGGACTTGTATTCACCCCCATTGTCGCTTTGAAGGTACTTCACGCGCTTTCCGGTTTGCGTTTCGGCCATCGCAGCGTATTCCATGAACTTCGCCGCAACTTCAGATTTGCTCTTGAGCAGATAGACGACACAGTATCTTGACTTGTCATCAATGAATGTCACGAAGTACCGTTTTCCACTGAAAGTTGCCATCGACATCGGTCCGCATACGTCGCTGTGAATCACTTCGAGGAGTTTGGAGGTGCGAGCTGTAGTGTTTGATTGGAAGCGCACTCGAGTCTGTTTTCCCAGAGCACAACCTTCACACACGTCCCACTTCTTCACCGAAGATATGTCGATGCCAATTCCAATGTTCTTCGTCACGATGCAATTGAGTCCATCGTGACCTATGTGGCCAAGCCGAAGGTGCCAGAGGTACGACTTGGTGCCCCCTTGACATCCCGACGACTTGGCTGCATTTGCTTGTTCCGGCGCCACTGGAGTCATTTGCAGCTTGAACAGTCCTTTACCTTCACGGGCACCAATTTTCCACTTGGTCCCTTTCGCTTCTCCATAGCACCCATCCTTCGTGAACGTCACTGGGCCGACATCCTTGGTGAAGCGGCCGACCGAGAACAGGTTTCTGGATAACTTTGGGATGTGCCACACGTTTGTGAGCACACCTTTCTTCATCCCTTGGGGTGTCTTCATCGACATGACAATGTCCCCACTGCCGATTGCTTGGACGATTCCATCATCCGCGAGATGGACATCCACAGCGTCAAACCCCTTGTAGTTCCGCATGAACTTCTTGGAGCACGTCATGTGCTGCGTCGCCCCGGAGTCGACCAGCCAGATGTCGCTCGATTTCGCAGATGTCGTTTCACCGATCGAAAAGAGGTAGTCGCCCGAGTCTTCTTCTTGAGCGACGTTTGCACGTTGTGATCGATAGCGGTCGCCGCTGTCTTGAGCACGCTGTGGCCGGTGTCTCTCCGTGTTTTCTTGGATGCGCGAGGGGCACTCCGCCATCCAGTGACCAATCTTTCCGCAATTGTGGCACGGCCAGGACTTCTTCACTGGTCGCCCTTTGCGCTGATTGTCCCTTGTGATGAACGCTTGACCTTGCGAAGCTTCATCACCTTTACTTCCTTGCTCCTTCCGCTTCATTTCTTCATGAAGCAGTCGAGACGTCACGAGCTCCCAGCTAAGAGTGTCTGAGCGCGACTCCAAAGCTGTGATCAAGAATTGATACGAGTCACTCAGGCTGCCGAGGAGTGTGATCACCAGATCGTCCTCGCAGACTGGAGCCCCCACCGCTTCTAGCTGTTCCGCCAGCGTCTTGAGCTTGTTGATGTGTTCGAGCACATCGTCGCCTTCTTCCATCATTGTCGTGAAGAAGCGACGGCGCAAGAACAGCTTGTTGGCAAGACTCTTCTTCTCGAAGTGGTCTTCCAACCTTGACCATGCGTCGCATGCACCACTTGCCGACCGGACCAACGGTAGCTGGGAATCTTCCATGGCTAGACAGATCACTGCCATCGCCTTTCTTGACTTCCTCTTGTACGTCGCTTGGTCCAACTGAGTCTCGCACTGTTCCGCCTTGATCTCACCGCTGACGACCTCCCATAGGTCCCGTTCCTCCAGCACCATCTGCATCTTGAACTTCCAGGCGTGGAAGTTAGTTCCATCGAACTTGGAGATGCGGAGGGAGGAGGCGTCCATGGCAGCTAAGCTTGAATTGTTGGCGGTTTCAGAGTCTGACGAACTTGGGCTCATAACCTGATGAACTTTAGACTTCTTGGTCCGAGTGCAAAACGCAAAGTGAATATATATTTATAATAGGTACTTAGTTCGCAACTTTGAATACTACCTCTAAGCCTATTATTCGCAGTGACGTCATCCAGTGACGTCATGCAATGACGTCATCCAGTGACGTCATTTCCTGACTTCGCCCTTACTGGTACATACCGGTACCCACCGGTATAGCGAGGCTTGGTCTTCCACTTGCTTCAACACTTGACGCAGCTTGACGAGGTGTCTTCTTCACAGCCGCTGTCTTTTCAACAGCGCGGACCTTCATCAAACTTGTCTTCCATGAATGTGGCATCGCGACTGATCTTGATCGCTCCTGTTGACACTTCCTCAAATCGATATGACTTCTGGTGTTCGGCGTATCCCAGGAAACGACAGAGTGATGACTTGGAGTCGAACTTCGCGCGTTTGTCTTGAGGCACTTGAACATACGCGTGGCATCCAAACACTTTAAGGTTGGCCAGAATCGGTTTCTTCATCGTCCACACTTGATATGGAGACTTGTCTTGGTGAATGGCACGTGTTGGACAGCGGTTTCGAAGAAACATCGCCGTCATCACTGCTTCACCCCAGTAGCTCTTTCCCAGTCCAGCGTGTTCCATCATGCAACGCGCACACTCGACCAGCGTGCGATTCATTCTCTCAGCTACTCCGTTTAGCTGAGGAGTATATGGGGGTGTGAACCTTTGTTGTATTCCCCGTTCCGCGCAGAATCGTGCCAGCTTGTCGGACTTGTATTCACCCCCATTGTCGCTTTGAAGGTACTTCACGCGCTTTCCGGTTTGCGTTTCGGCCATCGCAGCGTATTCCATGAACTTCGCCGCAACTTCAGATTTGCTCTTGAGCAGATAGACGACACAGTATCTTGACTTGTCATCAATGAATGTCACGAAGTACCGTTTTCCACTGAAAGTTGCCATCGACATCGGTCCGCATACGTCGCTGTGAATCACTTCGAGGAGTTTGGAGGTGCGAGCTGTAGTGTTTGATTGGAAGCGCACTCGAGTCTGTTTTCCCAGAGCACAACCTTCACACACGTCCCACTTCTTCACCGAAGATATGTCGATGCCAATTCCAATGTTCTTCGTCACGATGCAATTGAGTCCATCGTGACCTATGTGGCCAAGCCGAAGGTGCCAGAGGTACGACTTGGTGCCCCCTTGACATCCCGACGACTTGGCTGCATTTGCTTGTTCCGGCGCCACTGGAGTCATTTGCAGCTTGAACAGTCCTTTACCTTCACGGGCACCAATTTTCCACTTGGTCCCTTTCGCTTCTCCATAGCACCCATCCTTCGTGAACGTCACTGGGCCGACATCCTTGGTGAAGCGGCCGACCGAGAACAGGTTTCTGGATAACTTTGGGATGTGCCACACGTTTGTGAGCACACCTTTCTTCATCCCTTGGGGTGTCTTCATCGACATGACAATGTCCCCACTGCCGATTGCTTGGACGATTCCATCATCCGCGAGATGGACATCCACAGCGTCAAACCCCTTGTAGTTCCGCATGAACTTCTTGGAGCACGTCATGTGCTGCGTCGCCCCGGAGTCGACCAGCCAGATGTCGCTCGATTTCGCAGATGTCGTTTCACCGATCGAAAAGAGGTAGTCGCCCGAGTCTTCTTCTTGAGCGACGTTTGCACGTTGTGATCGATAGCGGTCGCCGCTGTCTTGAGCACGCTGTGGCCGGTGTCTCTCCGTGTTTTCTTGGATGCGCGAGGGGCACTCCGCCATCCAGTGACCAATCTTTCCGCAATTGTGGCACGGCCAGGACTTCTTCACTGGTCGCCCTTTGCGCTGATTGTCCCTTGTGATGAACGCTTGACCTTGCGAAGCTTCATCACCTTTACTTCCTTGCTCCTTCCGCTTCATTTCTTCATGAAGCAGTCGAGACGTCACGAGCTCCCAGCTAAGAGTGTCTGAGCGCGACTCCAAAGCTGTGATCAAGAATTGATACGAGTCACTCAGGCTGCCGAGGAGTGTGATCACCAGATCGTCCTCGCAGACTGGAGCCCCCACCGCTTCTAGCTGTTCCGCCAGCGTCTTGAGCTTGTTGATGTGTTCGAGCACATCGTCGCCTTCTTCCATCATTGTCGTGAAGAAGCGACGGCGCAAGAACAGCTTGTTGGCAAGACTCTTCTTCTCGAAGTGGTCTTCCAACCTTGACCATGCGTCGCATGCACCACTTGCCGACCGGACCAACGGTAGCTGGGAATCTTCCATGGCTAGACAGATCACTGCCATCGCCTTTCTTGACTTCCTCTTGTACGTCGCTTGGTCCAACTGAGTCTCGCACTGTTCCGCCTTGATCTCACCGCTGACGACCTCCCATAGGTCCCGTTCCTCCAGCACCATCTGCATCTTGAACTTCCAGGCGTGGAAGTTAGTTCCATCGAACTTGGAGATGCGGAGGGAGGAGGCGTCCATGGCAGCTAAGCTTGAATTGTTGGCGGTTTCAGAGTCTGACGAACTTGGGCTCATAACCTGATGAACTTTAGACTTCTTGGTCCGAGTGCAAAACGCAAAGTGAATATATATTTATAATAGGTACTTAGTTCGCAACTTTGAATACTACCTCTAAGCCTATTATTCGCAGTGACGTCATCCAGTGACGTCACCCACTGACGTCACCCACTGACGTCATCCAATGACGTCATCCAGTGACGTCATTTCCTGACTTCGCCCTTACTGGTACATACCGGTACCCACCGGTATAGCGAGGCTTGGTCTTCCACTTGCTTCAACACTTGACGCAGCTTGACGAGGTGTCTTCTTCACAGCCGCTGTCTTTTCAACAGCTACCACAAGAAATTGTTGATGACACTGCGCTGGATATCGAATCGATGAACATCAGCGATGAGCCTCACCCCATGCAGTTCAAGCAAACCGGAAAACGCAAAAGCCGTTCAAACAGTCAAGAACAAGTTCTACAATGGACACTTCTTGAGCGTCGTGGAACCGGGTTAGAAGAAGCAAGTGCCCCGGATGACTTTGAATCGCACCAAGCGAAGAGACGATCAAGCGCTCGAGACAATCTGGACGAAGAGCAAAAGGGCAGTGACGAAGATAACGAGGATGCTACACCTCAAGTCTTTTGGCGAGCGAGTGCCAATGCAGTCGAAGGTACTGACTTGTCTGAGCCGACAGCGTTTGAAGATGCTGTTGGTGGACCGGATCAAGTGCATTGGTGTGAAGCAATCTGTGCTGTGTTGGACTCGATGAAACTTCGTGGCGTGTTTCGAGCGACCAAACTGCCGTCTGGAAAGCATACCATTGGCACCAAGTGGGTATTCAAGATCAAACGGAAAGCTGATGGATCCATCGAGAAATACAAGGCGCGCCTCGTGGCAAAAGGGTTCAAGCAGAAATATGGCATCGACTACACGGAGACGTTTTCGCCGGTAGTCAAGTACGTGACGCTGCACATGGTGGTTGCAATCACAAAGTACTTTGGCTGGACACTGGACCAACTGGACGTGGTGACAGCTTTCCTTTACGGAGAAATGAAGGAAAATGTATTCTGCGCGATCCCAGAAGGATTCGAAGTTGATGAAGACTTTGACTGCTTTGAACTGGTCAAGGCGACCTACGTGTTGAAAAGACAGCGGCTGTGAAGAAGACACCTCGTCAAGCTGCGTCAAGTGTTGAAGCAAGTGGAAGACCAAGCTTCGCTATACCGGTGGGTACCGGTATGTACCAGTAAGGGCGAAGTCAGGAAATGACGTCACTGGATGACGTCATTGCATGACGTCACTGGATGACGTCATTGCATGACGTCAGTGGGTGACGTCAGTGGGTGACGTCACTGGATGACGTCACTGCGAATAATAGGCTTAGAGGTAGTATTCAAAGTTGCGAACTAAGTACCTATTATAAATATATATTCACTTTGCGTTTTGCACTCGGACCAAGAAGTCTAAAGTTCATCAGGTTATGAGCCCAAGTTCGTCAGACTCTGAAACCGCCAACAATTCAAGCTTAGCTGCCATGGACGCCTCCTCCCTCCGCATCTCCAAGTTCGATGGAACTAACTTCCACGCCTGGAAGTTCAAGATGCAGATGGTGCTGGAGGAACGGGACCTATGGGAGGTCGTCAGCGGTGAGATCAAGGCGGAACAGTGCGAGACTCAGTTGGACCAAGCGACGTACAAGAGGAAGTCAAGAAAGGCGATGGCAGTGATCTGTCTAGCCATGGAAGATTCCCAGCTACCGTTGGTCCGGTCGGCAAGTGGTGCATGCGACGCATGGTCAAGGTTGGAAGACCACTTCGAGAAGAAGAGTCTTGCCAACAAGCTGTTCTTGCGCCGTCGCTTCTTCACGACAATGATGGAAGAAGGCGACGATGTGCTCGAACACATCAACAAGCTCAAGACGCTGGCGGAACAGCTAGAAGCGGTGGGGGCTCCAGTCTGCGAGGACGATCTGGTGATCACACTCCTCGGCAGCCTGAGTGACTCGTATCAATTCTTGATCACAGCTTTGGAGTCGCGCTCAGACACTCTTAGCTGGGAGCTCGTGACGTCTCGACTGCTTCATGAAGAAATGAAGCGGGAAGGAGCAAGGAAGTAAAGGTGATGAAGCTTCGCAAGGTCAAGCGTTCATCACAAGGGACAATCAGCGCAAAGGGCGACCAGTGAAGAAGTCCTGGCCGTGCCACAATTGCGGAAAGATTGGTCACTGGATGGCGGAGTGCCCCCTCGCGCATCCAAGAAAACACGGAGAGACACCGGCCACAGCGTGCTCAAGACAGCGGCGACCGCTATCGATCACAACGTGCAAACGTCGCTCAAGAAGAAGACTCGGGCGACTACCTCTTTTCGATCGGTGAAACGACATCTGCGAAATCGAGCGACATCTGGCTGGTCGACTCCGGGGCGACGCAGCACATGACGTGCTCCAAGAAGTTCATGCGGAACTACAAGGGGTTTGACGCTGTGGATGTCCATCTCGCGGATGATGGAATCGTCCAAGCAATCGGCAGTGGGGACATTGTCATGTCGATGAAGACACCCCAAGGGATGAAGAAAGGTGTGCTCACAAACGTGTGGCACATCCCAAAGTTATCCAGAAACCTGTTCTCGGTCGGCCGCTTCACCAAGGATGTCGGCCCAGTGACGTTCACGAAGGATGGGTGCTACGGAGAAGCGAAAGGGACCAAGTGGAAAATTGGTGCCCGTGAAGGTAAAGGACTGTTCAAGCTGCAAAATGACTCCAGTGGCGCCGGAACAAGCAAATGCAGCCAAGTCGTCGGGATGTCAAGGGGGCACCAAGTCGTACCTCTGGCACCTTCGGCTTGGCCACATAGGTCACGATGGACTCAATTGCATCGTGACGAAGAACATTGGAATTGGCATCGACATATCTTCGGTGAAGAAGTGGGACGTGTGTGAAGGTTGTGCTCTGGGAAAACAGACTCGAGTGCGCTTCCAATCAAACACTACAGCTCGCACCTCCAAACTCCTCGAAGTGATTCACAGCGACGTATGCGGACCGATGTCGATGGCAACTTTCAGTGGAAAACGGTACTTCGTGACATTCATTGATGACAAGTCAAGATACTGTGTCGTCTATCTGCTCAAGAGCAAATCTGAAGTTGCGGCGAAGTTCATGGAATACGCTGCGATGGCCGAAACGCAAACCGGAAAGCGCGTGAAGTACCTTCAAAGCGACAATGGGGTGAATACAAGTCCGACAAGCTGGCACGATTCTGCGCGGAACGGGGAATACAACAAAGGTTCACACCCCCATATACTCCTCAGCTAAACGGAGTAGCTGAGAGAATGAATCGCACGCTGGTCGAGTGTGCGCGTTGCATGATGGAACACGCTGGACTGGGAAAGAGCTACTGGGGTGAAGCAGTGATGACGGCGATGTTTCTTCGAAACCGCTGTCCAACACGTGCCATTCACCAAGACAAGTCTCCATATCAAGTGTGGACGATGAAGAAACCGATTCTGGCCAACCTTAAAGTGTTTGGATGCCACGCGTATGTTCAAGTGCCTCAAGACAAACGCGCGAAGTTCGACTCCAAGTCATCACTCTGTCGTTTCCTGGGATACGCCGAACACCAGAAGTCATATCGATTTGAGGAAGTGTCAACAGGAGCGATCAAGATCAGTCGCGATGCCACATTCATGGAAGACAAGTTTGATGAAGGTCCGCGCAACTACAACGATGAGTCAAGTGTCGTTGAGTTTGATGATCATGATGAGGACGAAGAAAAAGAAGAAGGTAAAACTGACGACGACATGGACTCGAGCGACGATGACAACGAAGACACCAGGTCTTCGAAGAGCAACATCAAGAGACACACGCGCACTCAATCACTTGAGAAAGCTACCGTCATTCCAAGTCCCAAGCGAAGAACATACAGAGGTCCGTCGCTTGAGCATGTGTCAGCGGCTGCAATGGATTTTGAAGCAGCCTACATCGTTGATTCAGTGGGGGAAACGCCGACTACATTCAAGTCGGCGATGGAATCAAGCGACTCCGGCAAGTGGAAAGAAGCGTGTGACTCGGAGTTCGATTCGCTTCAGAGAAACGACACGTGGGAAATCGTGCCTCTTCCGAAAGGTCGCAAGGCCATCGGGTGCCGATGGGTTTTTCGTGTAAAGGAGAATCAAGATGGCGAAGTTGAACGTTTCAAGGCAAGACTTGTGGCCAAAGGATTCTCACAGAAATTCGGAGTTGACTATGAAGAAACTTTCGCACCGGTGGCCAAGTTCACATCGATTCGTGTGGTGCTCAGTATGGCGGCTAAGTACGGCCTAATGCTACATCAGATGGACGTCAAGACAGCGTTTCTTAACGGCTCCCTCAACGAAGACATCTACATGGACCAGCCGGACGGATACCTGGATGCAACACAGCCGGACTATGTGTGCAAGCTAAAGAGATCACTCTACGGCTCGAAGCAATCGCCTCGCATGTGGAACCAAACAATCGATGGGTTCATGATCAAGATGGGATTCAAGAAGTGCGAATCGGACCACTGCATCTACATCAAGCGAGACGACCAAGACATGATTCTCGTGGTGCTCTACGTCGATGATCTCATCCTGGCCAGCAGCAACAACGAACTCCTCAAGTCAACCAAGATGGCGCTGAGCAAACGCTTCGAAATGACGGATCTCGGTGAACTCGATTACTTTCTCGGCATGGAGATCAAGAACGACCGTAAGACGGGAATGGTGACTGTGCAACAAACCAAGTTTCTCAAGTCCGTGTTGACCAAGTTCGGAATGGATAACAGCAAGCCAGTGAAGACGCCTCAAGATCCCGGCCTGAAGCTAACCAAGAACATGTGTGAACAAGAATGCAAGCACGAAGACACCATGTGCAACGTGCCATATCGAAGTGCTGTCGGAGGCATCATGTATCTCATGGTCGCCACACGTCCGGATCTAGCTGCTGCAGTGGGATCATTATCCCAGTTCTCGTCCGACCCATGCCCGACTCACTGGCAAGCTTTTTAAGCGTGTGCTGAGATACCTGCAAGCAACGCCCAATCATGGTCTTGAGTTTACACGTGAAGAAGGAAGCCGTATCTGCGGGTACACCGACGCAGACTGGGCCGGCGACATTGAGTCAAGACGAAGTACAAGCGGCTATGTGTTCATGATGAGCGGAGGATGCATCAGCTGGAAAAGCCAGAAACAACGGACGGTCGCGCTATCTTCAACAGAAGCAGAATACATGGCGCTTTCCGAAGCAAACAAAAGAAGCAGTATGGCTCAAAGTGCTTTTGGGGGAACTTGGTGAGATGACAAGCGACGAAGCGATCAAGATGTATGAAGACAACCAAGGATCAATCGCTCTCGCCAAGAACCCGGAGTTCCATAAGAGAACAAAACACATCGACATACGCTACCATTTTGTGCGTGAGAAGGTGGAATCAGGGTGAAGTCGTTTTGGAGTATTGCCCCGACTCAAGATATGCTGGCAGAACCATTGACCAAGCCGCTGTACAAGTTACAATTTGAAAACATGGATCGCGATCGACTTGGGATCCAAGGCGCCGCAGCTAACGAGTCGAGAGGGAGTGTTGAAAGACAGAGAAGAGGCACTCGACTAGCACGGAAACCTGTTCAAGCTGCGTCAAGTGTTGAAGCAAGTGAGACCAAGCTTCGCTATACCGGTGGGTACCGGTATGTACCAGTAAGGGCGAAGTCAGGAAATGACGTCACTGGATGACGTCATTGCATGACGTCACTGCGAATAATAGGCTTAGAGGTAGTATTCAAAGTTGCGACGAATCCCTAGAACCAATACATATTATAAATACTTTGCTTTGTTTTTGCACTCGGACCAAGAAGTCTAAAGTTCATCACTACGGACTAAAACAAGCATCGCGCGTATGGAACGAGACTTTTCATGAGTTCGTCTGCTCCATTGGATTTCAAGTCTCCGATTTTGACCCGTGTCTTTATCTCAAGATTACAAGTGGCGAGTGCGTACTTTTGCTGGTATACGTCGATGATGTGTTGGTGACTGGCAGCTCAACCGAACTGATTATGCGCACCAAGAGTGACTTAAAGGCGCGTTTCGAAATGACCGACAGTGGGAAGTGCGCATTCGTGTTGGGCATCGAGCTGGTGGACAACGACGACGGTAGCGTGACGATGTGCCAGCGACGCTACGTGGAAGATGTTCTCAAGCGTTTTGGGCATGAGCGACTGCAAAGCCGTCACCAGCCCAACAGACATCAGTTCTCGACTCATACCAAGTACCGCAGCAACTAAAATCGACGCCCCGTTTCGTGAAGCAGTAGGCGCTCTGATGCACTTGATGACCGCGACACGACCGGACATTGCCTTTGCTGTGAGTTACGTTTCGCGCTTCATGGAGAACCCCCAAGTCGAGCATTGGATGGCGGTCAAGCGCATTTTGCGATACTTACAAGGGACTAAGTCGCACGGTATCTGTTTCAAGCCTGTTGACAAGATAGACTTCTGTGGCTACTCGGATGCAGACTGGGCCGGCGATCATGCAGACCGCAAGTCGACTTCAGGATACGCGTTTATCCTGATGGGTGCTCCGGTGAGCTGGGGAAGCAAAAAGCAGTCAAGTGTGTCGCTGTCAGCAAGTGAAGCTGAGTATATTGCACTAAGTCTGGCGATTCAAGAAGGCAAGTGGGTGCATCGATTGCTGTGCGAGATTCTGGATGCCGCAGAGGACAAGTCTGGACCCGAGCTCAAGATCATGGAAGACAACCAGTCGTGCATCAAGATGACGAAGAATCCGGTGAACCATGGTCGGGCCAAGCACATCGACATCAAGTACCACCACATTCGTGATGAAGTCAAGCGTGGTGATGTCAAGTTGGAGTACTGTGAGACTACGACTATGTTGGCGGACATCATGACGAAGGGACTGCCAGGACCGCGTCACAAGGACTTGACGGCAGCGCTCGGCATACACGCGTGTTCGCATTGAGGGGGCGTATTGTGGGTTGATGGTTGAGGTACTGCTATCAGCTACCATGGGAACCGTAAACCTGTCCAAGTCGATCCCGCGTAATTACGGTGAGTTTTTACCAATGATTAGACGCATAGGATGATTGGATGACCTACATGATTTATGATTCATGATTTATATGTGGACAACATATAAATCAGTGCAGAGATAAATCAGGTAGCTTTAACAAAACCCACAAATAAATTCACTTCCAAATATTCCTTCTTCAGCACAAGTCGTCTACACTTTGCAGTGCAGACTTCTTCAACGTTCTTCAAGCTTCGTTCTTATTGAGGGTTACCGGTACAATCCGAACCTAGCGCGTAGTTCTTACGAGATAGTTTTTACATCGGTAATTACCTCAGAGATGATTAGACGCGTAGGATGATTGGACGCGTGTAAATCAGGTTGATTAGATGCACCATGTGATTGGATGCAGTCTAGGGTAGGCAGAAGTTAAGACCTATAAATCAATCACTTTCGAATCCTCCCTCAAGTGAGCAAGTGTTCTCTGCTTCGTTCTCTCCGGTCTCTCCGCTTCGTTTTCTCTTCGCCTCGCGCTCAAGTTACAACAGGTTATGAGCCCAAGCGCCATGTCATCCAACAACACCTCGGCCAGTGTCTCCATCGATAAGTTCGATGGGGACAACTACTCAACCTGGTGTCGCTACATGCGCGGCGTGTTTCTGACGAAGTCAGTCTGGTACGTCGTGAACCGCGAAACGTCTCCAACCTTCACCGACACGCGAGCTTCCGACGAGTACGTCAAGGCGAGCAACATCGCGTTCGGGTTGATGTTGCTCCACATGAACGCCGACTACCACCATGTGGTCGACAACTGTGAAGAAGCATGGACAGCGTGGTCGCGGTTGAAGATGCTCTATGGTGGGTCGCAGAAGGCGGGACGCATCTACCTCAAGCGCCAGCTGTTCAGCATCAAGATGGCGGAAGGTGCCAACGTCTTGCACCATTGCAACGAAGTCTTGAACATCGGCGCCAAGCTCAGCAGCATCGGTGCCAAGATGGAAGACGAAGACATTGCGATCTGCTTGCTGCTCAGTCTCCCGAAGAGTTTCGAGAACGTGGTTCTGAACTTGGAGATGAGCAATGCAGAGCTGCGCACGCAAGATGTGGTCAAGGTGCTGACTAACGAGCACATCAAGCGACAAGGCGAGAAGATGACAACGGCAACGACAACGGTGAAGACTGAAGATGCGACAAAGGCATTCAGTACCGAGCGCAAGCCCTACCAATGCACATACTGCGGCAAGGTGGGGCACACGGCAGAGCGTTGCTGGACGAAGCAAAAGGATGAAAGTCGAGGAGCCCAACGCGGCGGCAATGGTCGTGGACGCGGGGCAAACAATGTCCAGTGGCGACATTATGATGAAGGCAACAGCTACGATCGAGTGGCGTTTGCAGTTTCGTTCGAATGCGGAGTTTCGACGAACAAGAATGGACCAGGAATGTGGGCCGTTGACAGCGGGGCAACACATCACATCTGCCACGACAAGTTCAAGTTTGCAAGCTTGGTCGAAGGCAATGATGGCGAGATCCTGGTGGCTGATGGCAACAAGGCGGCCATCAAAGGTGTGGGGACCATCGTGGAAAAGGTGATTCTGCCAAACGGGGAAGAGCGCGAGATCGAGATCAAGAACGCGCTCTATGTGCCCAGCATGAGCAAAAATCTGCTCTCGGTGCCGCAGATTAACAAGCACGGCAACTTCCAAGTGGTGTTTGACGGGGATACGATGTACGTCGCTCGCAAGGATTCCAATCAAGTGGTGGCAGCTGCGGATCTTGTAGACGGACTCTACTGGCTTCGCACGACGCAGCGATCGGCCAATGCGACATCACTCAGCAACGCTGTTGATCTACATGCGCGAATGGGCCATGCTCCAGTCGACGTGCTTCGCAGGATGGTGACAAGCCACATGATCAAGGACGCTCACATCCCTTCCAAGCCGAATGGATCAAGTGTGTGTCGAGGATGCCAAGAAGGGAAGATGGTCCAAAAACCATTCCCGAGCAACCGTGACAAGCGCACCTACAACACCTTCGAGATGCTCCACTTCGACATCTGCGGACCCATGGAAAAAAATCTCTGGGTGGCAGCAAGTATCTGCTGCTGATCGTGGATGAAGCCAGCGGATGCATGAAGGGTTTTTGTCTGCATTCCAAGTCAGAGAGCGAAGAGTGCATCAAGAAGTACATCACGATGATACAGACGCAGTTCAACAAGAAGGTCAAATTTGTGCGACACGATGGAGCCCGCGAGTTTGCGACGAACTCGCTTCAAGATTTCTACGAAGTCGAAGGCATCGAGCAACAAACCACGGTGCCATACGCACATCAAGCCAATGGAACTGCTGAACGCGCGATTCGAACTATCGTCACCATCGGTCGTAGCATGCTCCATCATGCCAAGTTGGACAAGTGCTTCTGGGCTGAAGCGGCAATGACGGCCGTCTATGTGAAGAACCGTTTGCCGTCTCCCAAGATTCCACACAAGACACCGTTCGAGATTGTCTACAATTCTAAGCCAAGTGTCAAGCACATGCGCGTTTTTGGGTGCCAAGCATACATCTTGACCCCGAAGGAGAAACGACTCAAGTGGGATCCCAAGGCCCGGGCTGGATTGTTTTTGGGCTACGAAGAAGTGTCCAAGGCGTATCGAGTTTACGACATCGAAGCGGGGCAGGTGATGATAAGTCGCGATGTCAACTTCGATGAGTCGGCCTTTGGAATGTCGATGCTGATTTCCGATGACGATGTTGATGGCCTGGACTTCGAATCGATCGATCTTGATGATGAAGAACCGCGTCCGAGACACTTCAAACAAACAGGAAAGCGCAAGGCCCAACCCAGTCACGACAATGACGACGCAAGCATGCCCCGAGCAGTGCGCCAACGACCCGGATTGGAAGAGTCAAGCGCGCCGGATGACCTCTCTTCACGTCGAGCCAACGAAGATGAAGAAAGGAAGTCGGAGGAACAACATGACACACCGACTTCCTCCGCGTTTTGGCATGCGAGTGCAAACGCCGTCGAAGCAGCGGTCGATTTTTCGGAGCCGTCGACATTTGAAGAAGCAGTATCTGGCCCGGACCAAGTACACTGGCGCAAGGCAATTGATGCGGAGCTCGATTCGATGAAGCTTCGCGGTGTCTTTCGTGCGGCCAAGTTACCCAACGGACAAAGCGCCATTGGCACAAAGTGGGTCTTCAAGATCAAGCGCAAGGCGGATGGGTCGATCGAGAAATACAAGGCACGACTTGTGGCCAAGGGTTTTCGCCAAAAGTATGGCATCGACTACACGGAGACGTTCTCGCCCGTGGTCAAGTATGTGACGCTGCGAATGGTCATCGCCATTACCAAGCACTTTGGATGGCCCCTCGACCAGCTCGATGTGGTGACTGCGTTCCTGTATGGAGTGATGAAGGAGAAGGTGTTCTGCGCTGTTCCGGAAGGCGTCAAGATGGAAGGTGATTTCGACTGTCTCGAGCTGATCAAGGCGATCTACGGTCTCAAGCAAGCCTCGCGTGTTTGGAACGAGACCTTCGACGAGTTCATACGCTCGATTGGTTTTCAAGCGTCGGGATTCGATCCATGTCTCTACATCATGACTTCGGAAGGCCATTGTGTTTTTGTGCTGGTCTACGTGGACGATGTCTTGGTGACTGGAAGCTCGCTCGAGATGATTGCGCGCACCAAGAACGACCTCAAGACACGCTTCGAGATGACGGACAGCGGCAAGTGTGCCTTTGTTCTTGGGATCGAGTTATTGGACGGTGAAGATGGCAGCGTGACTATGTGTCAGCGCCGTTATGTCGACGATGTCCTCAAGCGCTTTGGAATGGATGAGTGCAAGGCTGTGGCAAGTCCGGTGGACGTCAGCTCTCGACTGGTTCCAAGCAACTCTGCAAGCAAGGTGAATGTCCCATTCCGTGAAGCAGTGGGTGCTTTGATGCATCTGACGACTGCAACGCGACCGGACATCGCCTATGCTGTAAGCTTTGTGTCACGGTTCATGGAGAAACCCCAAGAAGAACACTGGGTTGCAGTCAAGCGCATCTTCCGCTACCTACAAGGCACCAAGATGCATGGAATCTGCTACAAGCCAAGTGCGAAGATCGACTTTCGTGGCTATTCAGATGCAGACTGGGCCGGTGACCTTGCTGATCGCAAATCGACGTCCGGCTACGTCTTCATGCTATTGGGTGCTCCGGTGAGTTGGGGCAGCAAGAAACAGCCAAGTGTGTCACTGTCTACAAGCGAAGCGGAGTACATCGCGCTCAGCCTGGCGATCCAAGAAGGCAAGTGGATCAATCGCTTGCTGTGCGAGATCATGGCGGCTGCAAACGAAGAAGGACCCGAGCTCGTCATCCGTGAAGACAACCAGTCGTGCATCAAGATGACGAAGAATCCGGTCAACCACGGCCGCGCTAAACACATCGACATCAAGTACCATCACATCCGTGATGAAGTCAAGCGCGGCGAAGTGAAGCTTGAATACTGCGAGACAACGTTGATGTTGGCGGACATCATGACCAAGGCACTTCACGGACCGCGTCACAAGAACTTGACGGCGGCGCTTGGCATCCGTGCGTGTTCGGATTGAGGGGGCGTATTGAGGGTTACCGGTACAATCCGAACCTAGCGCGTAGTTCTTACGAGATAGTTTTTACATCGGTAATTACCTCAGAGATGATTAGACGCGTAGGATGATTGGACGCGTGTAAATCAGGTTGATTAGATGCACCATGTGATTGGATGCAGTCTAGGGTAGGCAGAAGTTAAGACCTATAAATCAATCACTTTCGAATCCTCCCTCAAGTGAGCAAGTGTTCTCTACTTCGTTCTCTCCGGTCTCTCCGCTTCGTTTTCTCTTCGCCTCGCGCTCAAGTTACAACAGTTCTCTCGTCCAGTGCTCTTCAGACTTTAACAGTCTTGCTGTCCACCAATATATTCGTCGTCTCACAAGATTCCTTTTGAGGGTTACCGGTACAATCCGAACCTAGCGCGTAGTTCTTACGAGATAGTTTTTACATCGGTAATTACCTCAGAGATGATTAGACGCGTAGGATGATTGGACGCGTGTAAATCAGGTTGATTAGATGCACCATGTGATTGGATGCAGTCTAGGGTAGGCAGAAGTTAAGACCTATAAATCAATCACTTTCGAATCCTCCCTCAAGTGAGCAAGTGTTCTCTGCTTCGGTCTCTCCGGTCTCTCCGCTTCGTTTTCTCTTCGCCTCGCGCTCAAGTTACAACAGGTTATGAGCCCAAGCGCCATGTCGTCCAACAACACCTCGGCCAGTGTCTCCATCGATAAGTTCGATGGGGACAACTACTCAACCTGGTGTCGCTACATGCGCGGCGTGTTTCTGACGAAGTCAGTCTGGTACGTCGTGAACCGCGAAACGTCTCCAACCTTCACCGACACGCGAGCTTCCGACGAGTACGTCAAGGCGAGCAACATCGTGTTCGGGTTGATGTTGCTCCACATGGACGCCGACTACCACCATGTGGTCGACAACTGTGAAGAAGCATGGACAGCGTGGTCGCGGTTGAAGATGCTCTATGGTGGGTCGCAGAAGGCGGGACGCATCTACCTCAAGCGCCAGCTGTTCAGCATCAAGATGGCGGAAGGTGCCAACGTCTTGCACCATTGCAACGAAGTCTTGAACATCGGCGCCAAGCTCAGCAGCATCGGTGCCAAGATGGAAGACGAAGACATTGCGATCTGCTTGCTGCTCAGTCTCCCGAAGAGTTTCGAGAACGTGGTTCTGAACTTGGAGATGAGCAATGCAGAGCTGCGCACGCAAGATGTGGTCAAGGTGCTGACTAACGAGCACATCAAGCGACAAGGCGAGAAGATGACAACGGCAACGACAACGGTGAAGACTGAAGATGCGACAAAGGCATTCAGTACCGAGCGCAAGCCCCTACCAATGCACATACTGCGGCAAGGTGGGGCACACGGCAGAGCGTTGCTGGACGAAGCAAAAGGATGAAAGTCGAGGGAGCCCAACGCGGCGGCAATGGTCGTGGACGCGGGGCAAACAATGTCCAGTAACGACATTATGATGAAGGCAACAGCTACGATCGAGGTGGCGTTTGCAGTTTCGTTCGAATGCGGAGTTTCGACGAACAAGAATGGACCGGGAATGTGGGCCGTTGACAGCGGGGCAACACATCACATCTGCCACGACAAGTTCAAGTTTTGCAAGCTTGGTCGAAGGCAATGATGGCGAGATCCTGGTGGCTGATGGCAACAAGGCGGCCATCAAAGGTGTGGGGACCATCGTGGAAAAGGTGATTCTGCCAAACGGGGAAGAGCGCGAGATCGAGATCAAGAACGCGCTCTATGTGCCCAGCATGAGCAAAAATCTGCTCTCGGTGCCGCAGATTAACAAGCACGGCAACTTCCAAGTGGTGTTTGACGGGGATACGATGTACGTCGCTCGCAAGGATTCCAATCAAGTGGTGGCAGCTGCGGATCTTGTAGACGGACTCTACTGGCTTCGCACGACGCAGCGATCGGCCAATGCGACATCACTCAGCAACGCTGTTGATCTACATGCGCGAATGGGCCATGCTCCAGTCGACGTGCTTCGCAGGATGGTGACAAGCCACATGATCAAGGACGCTCACATCCCTTCCAAGCCGAATGGATCAAGTGTGTGTCGAGGATGCCAAGAAGGGAAGATGGTCCAAAAACCATTCCCGAGCAACAGTGACAAGCGCACCTACAACACCTTCGAGATGCTCCACTTCGACATCTGCGGACCCATGGAAAAAAAAATCTCTGGGTGGCAGCAAGTATCTGCTGCTGATCGTGGATGAAGCCAGCGGATGCATGAAGGGTTTTTGTCTGCATTCCAAGTCAGAGAGCGAAGAGTGCATCAAGAAGTACATCACGATGATACAGACGCAGTTCAACAAGAAGGTCAAATTTGTGCGACACGATGGAGCCCGCGAGTTTGCGACGAACTCGCTTCAAGATTTCTACGAAGTCGAAGGCATCGAGCAACAAACCACGGTGCCATACGCACATCAAGCCAATGGAACTGCTGAACGCGCGATTCGAACTATCGTCACCATCGGTCGTAGCATGCTCCATCATGCCAAGTTGGACAAGTGCTTCTGGGCTGAAGCGGCAATGACGGCCGTCTATGTGAAGAACCGTTTGCCGTCTCCCAAGATTCCACACAAGACACCGTTCGAGATTGTCTACAATTCTAAGCCAAGTGTCAAGCACATGCGCGTTTTTGGGTGCCAAGCATACATCTTGACCCCGAAGGAGAAACGACTCAAGTGGGATCCCAAGACTCGTGCTGGAATCTTTTTGGCTACGAAGAAGTATCAAAAGCGTATCGAGTTTACGGCATCGAAGCGGGGCAGGTGATGATAAGTCGCGATGTCAACTTCGATGAGTCGGCCTTTGGAATGTCGATGCTGATTTCCGATGACGATGTTGATGGCCTGGACTTCGAATCGATCGATCTTGATGATGAAGAACCGCGTCCGAGACACTTCAAACAAACAGGAAAGCGCAAGGCCCAACCCAGTCACGACAATGACGACGCAAGCATGCCCCGAGCAGTGCGCCAACGACCCGGATTGGAAGAGTCAAGCGCGCCGGATGACCTCTCTTCACGTCGAGCCAACGAAGATGAAGAAAGGAAGTCGGAGGAACAACATGACACACCGACTTCCTCCGCGTTTTGGCATGCGAGTGCAAACGCCGTCGAAGCAGCGGTCGATTTTTCGGAGCCGTCGACATTTGAAGAAGCAGTATCTGGCCCGGACCAAGTACACTGGCGCAAGGCAATTGATGCGGAGCTCGATTCGATGAAGCTTCGCGGTGTCTTTCGTGCGGCCAAGTTACCCAACGGACAAAGCGCCATTGGCACAAAGTGGGTCTTCAAGATCAAGCGCAAGGCGGATGGGTCGATCGAGAAATACAAGGCACGACTTGTGGCCAAGGGTTTTCGCCAAAAGTATGGCATCGACTACACGGAGACGTTCTCGCCCGTGGTCAAGTATGTGACGCTGCGAATGGTCATCGCCATTACCAAGCACTTTGGATGGCCCCTCGACCAGCTCGATGTGGTGACTGCGTTCCTGTATGGAGTGATGAAGGAGAAGGTGTTCTGCGCTGTTCCGGAAGGCGTCAAGATGGAAGGTGATTTCGACTGTCTCGAGCTGATCAAGGCGATCTACGGTCTCAAGCAAGCCTCGCGTGTTTGGAACGAGACCTTCGACGAGTTCATACGCTCGATTGGTTTTCAAGCGTCGGGATTCGATCCATGTCTCTACATCATGACTTCGGAAGGCCATTGTGTTTTTGTGCTGGTCTACGTGGACGATGTCTTGGTGACTGGAAGCTCGCTCGAGATGATTGCGCGCACCAAGAACGACCTCAAGACACGCTTCGAGATGACGGACAGCGGCAAGTGTGCCTTTGTTCTTGGGATCGAGTTATTGGACGGTGAAGATGGCAGCGTGACTATGCGTCAGCGCCGTTATGTCGACGATGTCCTCAAGCGCTTTGGAATGGATGAGTGCAAGGCTGTGGCAAGTCCGGTGGACGTCAGCTCTCGACTGGTTCCAAGCAACTCTGCAAGCAAGGTGAATGTCCCATTCCGTGAAGCAGTGGGTGCTTTGATGCATCTGACGACTGCAACGCGACCGGACATCGCCTATGCTGTAAGCTTTGTGTCACGGTTCATGGAGAAACCCCAAGAAGAACACTGGGTTGCAGTCAAGCGCATCTTCCGCTACCTACAAGGCACCAAGATGCATGGAATCTGCTACAAGCCAAGTGCGAAGATCGACTTTCGTGGCTATTCAGATGCAGACTGGGCCGGTGACCTTGCTGATCGCAAATCGACGTCCGGCTACGTCTTCATGCTATTGGGTGCTCCGGTGAGTTGGGGCAGCAAGAAACAGCCAAGTGTGTCACTGTCTACAAGCGAAGCGGAGTACATCGCGCTCAGCCTGGCGATCCAAGAAGGCAAGTGGATCAATCGCTTGCTGTGCGAGATCATGGCGGCTGCAAACGAAGAAGGACCCGAGCTCGTCATCCGTGAAGACAACCAGTCGTGCATCAAGATGACGAAGAATCCGGTCAACCACGGCCGCGCTAAACACATCGACATCAAGTACCATCACATCCGTGATGAAGTCAAGCGCGGCGAAGTGAAGCTTGAATACTGCGAGACAACGTTGATGTTGGCGGACATCATGACGAAGGGACTTCACGGACCGCGTCACAAGAACTTGACGGCGGCGCTTGGCATCCGTGCGTGTTCGGATTGAGGGGGCGTATTGAGGGTTACCGGTACAATCCGAACCTAGCGCGTAGTTCTTACGAGATAGTTTTTACATCGGTAATTACCTCAGAGATGATTAGACGCGTAGGATGATTGGACGCGTGTAAATCAGGTTGATTAGATGCACCATGTGATTGGATGCAGTCTAGGGTAGGCAGAAGTTAAGACCTATAAATCAATCACTTTCGAATCCTCCCTCAAGTGAGCAAGTGTTCTCTACTTCGTTCTCTCCGGTCTCTCCGCTTCGTTTTCTCTTCGCCTCGCGCTCAAGTTACAACAGTTCTCTCGTCCAGTGCTCTTCAGACTTTAACAGTCTTGCTGTCCACCAATATATTCGTCGTCTCACAAGATTCCTTTTGAGGGTTACCGGTACAATCCGAACCTAGCGCGTAGTTCTTACGAGATAGTTTTTACATCGGTAATTACCTCAGAGATGATTAGACGCGTAGGATGATTGGACGCGTGTAAATCAGGTTGATTAGATGCACCATGTGATTGGATGCAGTCTAGGGTAGGCAGAAGTTAAGACCTATAAATCAATCACTTTCGAATCCTCCCTCAAGTGAGCAAGTGTTCTCTGCTTCGTTCTCTCCGGTCTCTCCGCTTCGTTTTCTCTTCGCCTCGCGCTCAAGTTACAACAGGTTATGAGCCCAAGCGCCATGTCGTCCAACAACACCTCGGCCAGTGTCTCCATCGATAAGTTCGATGGGGACAACTACTCAACCTGGTGTCGCTACATGCGCGGCGTGTTTCTGACGAAGTCAGTCTGGTACGTCGTGAACCGCGAAACGTCTCCAACCTTCACCGACACGCGAGCTTCCGACGAGTACGTCAAGGCGAGCAACATCGCGTTCGGGTTGATGTTGCTCCACATGGACGCCGACTACCACCATGTGGTCGACAACTGTGAAGAAGCATGGACAGCGTGGTCGCGGTTGAAGATGCTCTATGGTGGGTCGCAGAAGGCGGGACGCATCTACCTCAAGCGCCAGCTGTTCAGCATCAAGATGGCGGAAGGTGCCAACGTCTTGCACCATTGCAACGAAGTCTTGAACATCGGCGCCAAGCTCAGCAGCATCGGTGCCAAGATGGAAGACGAAGACATTGCGATCTGCTTGCTGCTCAGTCTCCCGAAGAGTTTCGAGAACGTGGTTCTGAACTTGGAGATGAGCAATGCAGAGCTGCGCACGCAAGATGTGGTCAAGGTGCTGACTAACGAGCACATCAAGCGACAAGGCGAGAAGATGACAACGGCAACGACAACGGTGAAGACTGAAGATGCGACAAAGGCATTCAGTACCGAGCGCAAGCCCTACCAATGCACATACTGCGGCAAGGTGGGGCACACGGCAGAGCGTTGCTGGACGAAGCAAAAGGATGAAAGTCGAGGAGCCCAACGCGGCGGCAATGGTCGTGGACGCGGGGCAAACAATGTCCAGTAACGACATTATGATGAAGGCAACAGCTACGATCGAGTGGCGTTTGCAGTTTCGTTCGAATGCGGAGTTTCGACGAACAAGAATGGACCGGGAATGTGGGCCGTTGACAGCGGGGCAACACATCACATCTGCCACGACAAGTTCAAGTTTGCAAGCTTGGTCGAAGGCAATGATGGCGAGATCCTGGTGGCTGATGGCAACAAGGCGGCCATCAAAGGTGTGGGGACCATCGTGGAAAAGGTGATTCTGCCAAACGGGGAAGAGCGCGAGATCGAGATCAAGAACGCGCTCTATGTGCCCAGCATGAGCAAAAATCTGCTCTCGGTGCCGCAGATTAACAAGCACGGCAACTTCCAAGTGGTGTTTGACGGGGATACGATGTACGTCGCTCGCAAGGATTCCAATCAAGTGGTGGCAGCTGCGGATCTTGTAGACGGACTCTACTGGCTTCGCACGACGCAGCGATCGGCCAATGCGACATCACTCAGCAACGCTGTTGATCTACATGCGCGAATGGGCCATGCTCCAGTCGACGTGCTTCGCAGGATGGTGACAAGCCACATGATCAAGGACGCTCACATCCCTTCCAAGCCGAATGGATCAAGTGTGTGTCGAGGATGCCAAGAAGGGAAGATGGTCCAAAAACCATTCCCGAGCAACAGTGACAAGCGCACCTACAACACCTTCGAGATGCTCCACTTCGACATCTGCGGACCCATGGAAAAAAAATCTCTGGGTGGCAGCAAGTATCTGCTGCTGATCTTGGATGAAGCCAGCGGATGCATGAAGGGTTTTTGTCTGCATTCCAAGTCAGAGAGCGAAGAGTGCATCAAGAAGTACATCACGATGATACAGACGCAGTTCAACAAGAAGGTCAAATTTGTGCGACACGATGGAGCCCGCGAGTTTGCGACGAACTCGCTTCAAGATTTCTACGAAGTCGAAGGCATCGAGCAACAAACCACGGTGCCATACGCACATCAAGCCAATGGAACTGCTGAACGCGCGATTCGAACTATCGTCACCATCGGTCGTAGCATGCTCCATCATGCCAAGTTGGACAAGTGCTTCTGGGCTGAAGCGGCAATGACGGCCGTCTATGTGAAGAACCGTTTGCCGTCACCCAAGATTCCACACAAGACACCGTTCGAGATTGTCTACAATTCTAAGCCAAGTGTCAAGCACATGCGCGTTTTTGGGTGCCAAGCATACATCTTGACCCCGAAGGAGAAACGACTCAAGTGGGATCCCAAGGCCCGGGCTGGATTGTTTTTGGGCTACGAAGAAGTGTCCAAGGCGTATCGAGTTTACGACATCGAAGCGGGGCAGGTGATGATAAGTCGCGATGTCAACTTCGATGAGTCGGCCTTTGGAATGTCGATGCTGATTTCCGATGACGATGTTGATGGCCTGGACTTCGAATCGATCGATCTTGATGATAAAGAACCGCGTCCGAGACACTTCAAACAAACAGGAAAGCGCAAGGCCCAACCCAGTCACGACAATGACGACGCAAGCATGCCCCGAGCAGTGCGCCAACGACCCGGATTGGAAGAGTCAAGTGCGCCGGATGACCTCTCTTCACGTCGAGCCAACGAAGATGAAGAAAGGAAGTCGGAGGAACAACATGACACACCGACTTCCTCCGCGTTTTGGCATGCGAGTGCAAACGCCGTCGAAGCAGCGGTCGATTTTTCGGAGCCGTCGACATTTGAAGAAGCAGTGTCTGGCCCGGACCAAGTACACTGGCGCAAGGCAATTGATGCGGAGCTCGATTCGATGAAGCTTCGCGGTGTCTTTCGTGCGGCCAAGTTACCCAACGGACAAAGCGCCATTGGCACAAAGTGGGTCTTCAAGATCAAGCGCAAGGCGGATGGGTCGATCGAGAAATACAAGGCACGACTTGTGGCCAAGGGTTTTCGCCAAAAGTATGGCATCGACTACACGGAGACGTTCTCGCCCGTGGTCAAGTATGTGACGCTGCGAATGGTCATCGCCATTACCAAGCACTTTGGATGGCCCCTCGACCAGCTCGATGTGGTGACTGCGTTCCTGTATGGAGTGATGAAGGAGAAGGTGTTCTGCGCTGTTCCGGAAGGCGTCAAGATGGAAGGTGATTTCGACTGTCTCCGAGCTGATCAAGGCGATCTACGGTCTCAAGCAAGCCTCGCGTGTTTGGAACGAGACCTTCGACGAGTTCATACGCTCGATTGGTTTTCAAGCGTCGGGATTCGATCCATGTCTCTACATCATGACTTCGGAAGGCCATTGTGTTTTTGTGCTGGTCTACGTGGACGATGTCTTGGTGACTGGAAGCTCGCTCGAGATGATTGCGCGCACCAAGAACGACCTCAAGACACGCTTCGAGATGACGGACAGCGGCAAGTGTGCCTTTGTTCTTGGGATCGAGTTATTGGACGGTAAAGATGGCAGCGTGACTATGTGTCAGCGCCGTTATGTCGACGATGTCCTCAAGCGCTTTGGAATGGATGAGTGCAAGGCTGTGGCAAGTCCGGTGGACGTCAGCTCTCGACTGGTTCCAAGCAACTCTGCAAGCAAGGTGGATGTCCCATTCCGTGAAGCAGTGGGTGCTTTGATGCATCTGACGACTGCAACGCGACCGGACATCGCCTATGCTGTAAGCTTTGTGTCACGGTTCATGGAGAAACCCCAAGAAGAACACTGGGTTGCAATCAAGCGCATCTTCCGCTACCTACAAGGCACCAAGATGCATGGAATCTGCTACAAGCCAAGTGCGAAGATCGACTTTCGTGGCTATTCAGATGCAGACTGGGCCGGTGACCTTGCTGATCGCAAATCGACGTCCGGCTACGTCTTCATGCTATTGGGTGCTCCGGTGAGTTGGGGCAGCAAGAAACAGCCAAGTGTGTCACTGTCTACAAGCGAAGCGGAGTACATCGCGCTCAGCCTGGCGATCCAAGAAGGCAAGTGGATCAATCGCTTGCTGTGCGAGATCATGGCGGCTGCAAACGAAGAAGGACCCGAGCTCGTCATCCGTGAAGACAACCAGTCGTGCATCAAGATGACGAAGAATCCGGTCAACCACGGCCGCGCTAAACACATCGACATCAAGTACCATCACATCCGTGATGAAGTCAAGCGCGGCGAAGTGAAGCTTGAATACTGCGAGACGACGTTGATGTTGGCGGACATCATGACGAAGGGACTTCACGGACCGCGTCACAAGGACTTGACGGCGGCGCTTGGCATCCGTGCGTGTTCGGATTGAGGGGGCGTATTGAGGGTTACCGGTACAATCCGAACCTAGCGCGTAGTTCTTACGAGATAGTTTTTACATCGGTAATTACCTCAGAGATGATTAGACGCGTAGGATGATTGGACGCGTGTAAATCAGGTTGATTAGATGCACCATGTGATTGGATGCAGTCTAGGGTAGGCAGAAGTTAAGACCTATAAATCAATCACTTTCGAATCCTCCCTCAAGTGAGCAAGTGTTCTCTGCTTCGTTCTCTCCGGTCTCTCCGCTTCGTTTTCTCTCCGCCTCGCGCTCAAGTTACAACAATTCCAGCTCGACTTTCCCGCGCTTAACCTCATTACGGATGTAATGGTACTTGATTTTGATGTGCTTCGCTTAACCATGGTTCACCGGGTTCGTCGTCATCTTGATTCAGGACTGGTTGTCTTCCGTAATCTTGAGCTCGGAATTGGACGTTCCCGCTGCGGAATCTAGGTTTCGCGCAGCAAGCGATGCACCCACTTGCCTTCTTGAATCGCCAGACTTAGAGCGATATACTCGGCTTCACTTGTTGACAATTACACACTTAGTTGCTTCTTGCTATCACAGCTCACCGGAGCACACATGATCATGAATGCGTCTCTCTAAGTAGACTTGCGATACGCATGGTCGCCAGCCCAGTCTGCATCCGAGTAGCCGTAGAAGTCCACCTTGTCGTCGAGTTTGGAGCAGATGCCGTGCGATTTGGATCCATGCAAGTATCGCACAATACGCTTGACCGCCATCCAGTGCTCAACTTGCGGTTTCTCCATGAAGCGCGCAACATAGTGTTGAAAAGACAGCGGCTGTGAAGAATGCTGAAAAGACAGCGGCTGTGAAGAAGACACCTCGTCAAGCTGCGTCAAGTGTTGAAGCAAGTGGAAGACCAAGCTTCGCTATACCGGTGGGTACCGGTATGTACCAGTAAGGACGAAGTCAGGAAATGACGTCATTGGATGACGTCAGTGGGTGACGTCATTGGATGACGTCAGTGGGTGACGTCACTGGATGACGTTACTGCGAATAATAGGCTTAGAGGTAGTATTCAAAGTTGCGAACTAAGTACCTATTATAAATATATATTCACTTTGCGTTTTGCACTCAGACCAAGAAGTCTAAAGTTCATCAGGTTATGAGCCCAAGTTCGTCAGACTCTGAAACCGCCAACAATTCAAGCTTAGCTGCCATGGACGCCTCCTCCCTCCGCATCTCCAAGTTCGATGGAACTAACTTCCACGCCTGGAAGTTCAAGATGCAGATGGTGCTGGAGGAACGGGACCTATGGGAGGTCGTCAGCGGTGAGATCAAGGCGGAACAGTGCGAGACTCAGTTGGACCAAGCGACGTACAAGAGGAAGTCAAGAAAGGCGATGGCAGTGATCTGTCTAGCCATGGAAGATTCCCAGCTACCGTTGGTCCGGTCGGCAAGTGGTGCATGCGACGCATGGTCAAGGTTGGAAGACCACTTCGAGAAGAAGAGTCTTGCCAACAAGCTGTTCTTGCGCCGTCGCTTCTTCACGACAATGATGGAAGAAGGCGACGATGTGCTCGAACACATCAACAAGCTCAAGACGCTGGCGGAACAGCTAGAAGCGGTGGGGGCTCCAGTCTGCGAGGACGATCTGGTGATCACACTTCTCGGCAGCCTGAGTGACTCGTATCAATTCTTGATCACAGCTTTGGAGTCGCGCTCAGACACTCTTAGCTGGGAGCTCGTGACGTCTCGACTGCTTCATGAAGAAATGAAGCGGAAGGAGCAAGGAAGTAAAGGTGATGAAGCTTCGCAAAGTCAAGCGTTCATCACAAGGGACAATCAGCGCAAAGGGCGACCAGTGAAGAAGTCCTGGCCGTGCCACAATTGCGGAAAGATTGGTCACTGGATGGCGGAGTGCCCCTCGCGCATCCAAGAAAACACGGAGAGACACCGGCCACAGCGTGCTCATGACAGCGGCGATCGCTATCGATCACAACGTGCAAACGTCGCTCAAGAAGAAGACTCCGGGCGACTACCTTTTTCGATCGGTGAAACGACATCTGCGAAATCGAGCGACATCTGGCTGGTCGACTCCGGGGCGACGCAGCACATGACGTGTTCCAAGAAGTTCATGCGGAACTACAAGGGGTTTGACGATGTGGATGTCCATCTCGCGGATGATGGAATCGTCAAAGCAATCGGCAGTGGCGACATTGTGATGTCGATGAAGACACCCCAAGGGATGAAGAAAGGTGTGCTCACAAACGTGTGGCACATTCCAAAGTTATCCAGAAACCTGTTCTCGGTCGGCCGCTTCACCAAGGATGTCGGCCCAGTGACGTTCACGAAGGATGGGTGCTATGGAGAAGCGAAAGGGATCAAGTGGAAAATTGGTGCCCGTGAAGGTAAAGGACTGTTCAAGCTGCAAATGACTCCAGTGGCGCCGGAACAAGCAAATGCAGCGAAGTCGTCGGGATGTCAAGGGGACACCAAGTCGTACCTCTGGCACCTTCGGCTTGGCCACATTGGTCACGATGGACTCAATTGCATCGTGACGAAGAACATTGGAATTGGCATCGACATATCTTCGGTGAAGAAGTGGGACGTGTGTGAAGGTTGTGCTCTGGGAAAACAGACTCGAGTGCGCTTCCAATCAAACACTACAGCTCGCACCTCCAAACTCCTCGAAGTGATTCACAGCGATGTATGCGGACCGATGTCGATGGCAACTTTCATTGGAAAACGGTACTTCGTGACATTCATCGATGACAAGTCAAGATACTGTGTCGTCTATCTGCTCAAGAGCAAATCTGAAGTTGCGGCGAAGTTCATGGAATACGCTGCGATGGCTGAAACGCAAACCGGAAAGCGCGTGAAGTACCTTCAAAGCGACAATGGGGTTGAATACAAGTCCAACAAGCTGGCACGATTCTGCGCGGAACGGGGAATACAACAAAGGTTCACAACCCCATATACTCCTCAGCTAAACGGAGTAGCTGAGAGAATGAATCGCACGCTGGTCGAGTGTGCGCGTTGCATGATGGAACACGCTGGACTGGGAAAGAGCTACTGGGGTGAAGCAGTGATGACGGCGATGTTTCTTCGAAACCGCTGTCCAACACGTGCCATTCACCAAGACAAGTCTCCATATCAAGTGCGGACGATGAAGAAACCGATTCTGGCCAACCTTAAAGTGTTTGGATGCCACGCGTATGTTCAAGTGCCTCAAGACAAACGCGCGAAGTTCGACTCCAAGTCATCACTCTGTCGTTTCCTGGGATACGCCGAACACCAGAAGTCATATCGATTTGAGGAAGTGTCAACAGGAGCGATCAAGATCAGTCTCGATGCCACATTCATGGAAGACAAGTTTGATGAAGGTCCGCGCAACTACAACGATAAGTCAAGTGCCGTTGAGTTTGATGATCAAGACGAGGACGAAGAAAAAGAAGAAGGTAAAACTGACGTCGACATGGACTCGAGCGACGATGACAACGAAGACACCAGGTCTTCGAAGAGCAACATCAAGAGACACACGCGCACTCAATCACTTGAGAAAGCTACCGTCATTCCAAGTCCCAAGCGAAGAACGTACAGAGGTCCGTCGCTTGAGCATGTGTCAGCGGCTGCAATGGATTTTGAAGCAGCCTACATCGTTGATTCAGTGGGGGAAACGCCGACTACATTCAAGTCGGCGATGGAATCAAGCGACTCCGGCAAGTGGAAAGAAGCGTGCGACTCGGAGTTCGACTCGCTTCAGAGAAACGACACGTGGGAAATCGTGCCTCTTCCGAAAGGTCGCAAGGCCATCGGGTGCCGATGGGTTTTTCGTGTAAAGGAGAATCAAGATGGCGAAGTTGAACGTTTCAAGGCAAGACTTGTGGCCAAAGGATTCTCACAGAAATTCGGAGTTGACTATGAAGAAACTTTCGCACCGGTGGCCAAGTTCACATCGATTCTCGTGGTGCTCTACGTCGATGATCTCATCCTGGCCAGCAGCAACAACGAACTCCTCAAGTCGACCAAGATGGCGCTAAGCAAACGCTTCGAAATGACGGATCTCGGTGAGCTCGATTACTTTCTCGGCATGGAGATCAAGAACGACCGTAAGACGGGAATGGTGACCGTGCAACAAACCAAGTTTCTCAAGTCCGTGTTGACCAAGTTCGGAATGGATAACAGCAAGCCAGTGAAGACGCCTCAAGATCCCGGCCTGAAGCTAACCAAGAACATGTGTGAACAAGAATGCAAGCACGAAGACACCATGTGCAACGTGCCATATCGAAGTGCTGTCGGAGGCATCATGTATCTCATGGTCGCCACAGGTCCGGATCTAGCTGCTGCAGTAGGATCATTATCCCAGTTCTCGTCCGACCCATGCCCGACTCACTGGCAAGCTTTGAAGCGTGTGCTGAGATACCTGCAAGCAACGCCCAATCATGGTCTTGAGTTTACACGTGAAGAAGGAAGCCGTATCTGCGGGTACACCGACGCAGACTGGGCCGGCGACATTGAGTCAAGACGAAGTACAAGCGGCTATGTGTTCATGATGAACGGAGGATGCATCAGCTGGAAAAGCCAGAAACAACGGACGGTCGCGCTATCTTCAACAGAAGCAGAATACATGGCGCTTTCCGAAGCAACCAAAGAAGCAGTGTAGCTCAAGGTGTTGTTGAGGGAACTTGGTGAGATGACAAGCGACGAAGCGATCAAGATGTATGAAGACAACCAAGGATCAATCGCTCTCGCCAAGAACCCGGAGTTCCATAAGAGAACAAAACACATCGACATACGCTACCATTTTGTGCGTGAGAAGGTGGAATCAGGTGAAGTCGTTTTGGAGTATTGCCCGACTCAAGATATGCTGGCAGACATGATGACCAAGCCGATCGCCGCTGTACAATTTGAAAACATTCGCGATCGACTTGGGATCCAAGGTGCCGCAGCTAACGAGTCGAGAGGGAGTGTTGAAAAGACAGCGGCTGTGAAGAATGTTGAAAAGACAGCGGCTGTGAAGAAGACACCTCGTCAAGCTGCGTCAAGTGTTGAAGCAAGTGGAAGACCAAGCTTCGCTATACCGGTGGGTACCGGTATGTACCAGTAAGGACGAAGTCAGGAAATGACGTCATTGGATGACGTCAGTGGGTGACGTCACTGGATGACGTTACTGCGAATAATAGGCTTAGAGGTAGTATTCAAAGTTGCGAACTAAGTACCTATTATAAATATATATTCACTTTGCGTTTTGCACTCAGACCAAGAAGTCTAAAGTTCATCAGGTTATGAGCCCAAGTTCGTCAGACTCTGAAACCGCCAACAATTCAAGCTTAGCTGCCATGGACGCCTCCTCCCTCCGCATCTCCAAGTTCGATGGAACTAACTTCCACGCCTGGAAGTTCAAGATGCAGATGGTGCTGGAGGAACGGGACCTATGGGAGGTCGTCAGCGGTGAGATCAAGGCGGAACAGTGCGAGACTCAGTTGGACCAAGCGACGTACAAGAGGAAGTCAAGAAAGGCGATGGCAGTGATCTGTCTAGCCATGGAAGATTCCCAGCTACCGTTGGTCCGGTCGGCAAGTGGTGCATGCGACGCATGGTCAAGGTTGGAAGACCACTTCGAGAAGAAGAGTCTTGCCAACAAGCTGTTCTTGCGCCGTCGCTTCTTCACGACAATGATGGAAGAAGGCGACGATGTGCTCGAACACATCAACAAGCTCAAGACGCTGGCGGAACAGCTAGAAGCGGTGGGGGCTCCAGTCTGCGAGGACGATCTGGTGATCACACTTCTCGGCAGCCTGAGTGACTCGTATCAATTCTTGATCACAGCTTTGGAGTCGCGCTCAGACACTCTTAGCTGGGAGCTCGTGACGTCTCGACTGCTTCATGAAGAAATGAAGCGGAAGGAGCAAGGAAGTAAAGGTGATGAAGCTTCGCAAAGTCAAGCGTTCATCACAAGGGACAATCAGCGCAAAGGGCGACCAGTGAAGAAGTCCTGGCCGTGCCACAATTGCGGAAAGATTGGTCACTGGATGGCGGAGTGCCCCTCGCGCATCCAAGAAAACACGGAGAGACACCGGCCACAGCGTGCTCATGACAGCGGCGATCGCTATCGATCACAACGTGCAAACGTCGCTCAAGAAGAAGACTCGGGCGACTACCTTTTTTCGATCGGTGAAACGACATCTGCGAAATCGAGCGACATCTGGCTGGTCGACTCCGGGGCGACGCAGCACATGACGTGCTCCAAGAAGTTCATGCGGAACTACAAGGGGTTTGACGATGTGGATGTCCATCTCGCGGATGATGGAATCGTCAAAGCAATCGGCAGTGGGGACATTGTCATGTCGATGAAGACACCCCAAGGGATGAAGAAAGGTGTGCTCACAAACGTGTGGCACATTCCAAAGTTATCCAGAAACCTGTTCTCGGTCGGCCGCTTCACCAAGGATGTCGGCCCAGTGACGTTCACGAAGGATGGGTGCTATGGAGAAGCGAAAGGGATCAAGTGGAAAATTGGTGCCCGTGAAGGTAAAGGACTGTTCAAGCTGCAAATGACTCCAGTGGCGCCGGAACAAGCAAATGCAGCGAAGTCGTCGGGATGTCAAGGGGACACCACGTCGTACCTCTGGCACCTTCGACTTGGTCACATTGGTCACGATGGACTCAATTGCATCGTGACGAAGAACATTGGAATTGGCATCGACATATCTTCGGTGAAGAAGTGGGACGTGTGTGAAGGTTGTGCTCTGGGAAAACAGACTCGAGTGCGCTTCCAATCAAACACTACAGCTCGCACCTCCAAACTCCTCGAAGTGATTCACAGCGACGTATGCGGACCGATGTCGATGGCAACTTTCATTGGAAAACGGTACTTCGTGACATTCATCGATGACAAGTCAAGATACTGTGTCGTCTATCTGCTCAAGAGCAAATCTGAAGTTGCGGCGAAGTTCATGGAATACGCTGCGATGGCTGAAACGCAAACCGGAAAGCGCGTGAAGTACCTTCAAAGCGACAATGGGGTTGAATACAAGTCCAACAAGCTGGCACGATTCTGCGCGGAACGGGGAATACAACAAAGGTTCACAACCCCATATACTCCTCAGCTAAACGGAGTAGCTGAGAGAATGAATCGCACGCTGGTCGAGTGTGCGCGTTGCATGATGGAACACGCTGGACTGGGAAAGAGCTACTGGGGTGAAGCAGTGATGACGGCGATGTTTCTTCGAAACCGCTGTCCAACACGTGCCATTCACCAAGACAAGTCTCCATATCAAGTGTGGACGATGAAGAAACCGATTCTGGCCAACCTTAAAGTGTTTGGATGCCACGCGTATGTTCAAGTGCCTCAAGACAAACGCGCGAAGTTCGACTCCAAGTCATCACTCTGTCGTTTCCTGGGATACGCCGAACACCAGAAGTCATATCGATTTGAGGAAGTGTCAACAGGAGCGATCAAGATCAGTCTCGATGCCACATTCATGGAAGACAAGTTTGATGAAGGTCCGCGCAACTACAACGATCAGTCAAGTGCCGTTGAGTTTGATGATCAAGACGAGGACGAAGAAAAAGAAGAAGGTAAAACTGACGTCGACATGGACTCGAGCGACGATGACAACGAAGACACCAGGTCTTCGAAGAGCAACATCAAGAGACACACGCGCACTCAATCACTTGAGAAAGCTACCGTCATTCCAAGTCCCAAGCGAAGAACGTACAGAGGTCCGTCGCTTGAGCATGTGTCAGCGGCTGCAATGGATTTTGAAGCAGCCTACATCGTTGATTCAGTGGGGGAAACGCCGACTACATTCAAGTCGGCGATGGAATCAAGCGACTCCGGCAAGTGGAAAGAAGCGTGCGACTCGGAGTTCGACTCGCTTCAGAGAAACGACACGTGGGAAATCGTGCCTCTTCCGAAAGGTCGCAAGGCCATCGGGTGCCGATGGGTTTTTCGTGTAAAGGAGAATCAAGATGGCGAAGTTGAACGTTTCAAGGCAAGACTTGTGGCCAAAGGATTCTCACAGAAATTCGGAGTTGACTATGAAGAAACTTTCGCACCGGTGGCCAAGTTCACATCGATTCTCGTGGTGCTCTACGTCGATGATCTCATCCTGGCCAGCAGCAACAACGAACTCCTCAAGTCGACCAAGATGGCGCTAAGCAAACGCTTCGAAATGACGGATCTCGGTGAGCTCGATTACTTTCTCGGCATGGAGATCAAGAACGACCGTAAGACGGGAATGGTGACTGTGCAACAAACCAAGTTTCTCAAGTCCGTGTTGACCAAGTTCGGAATGGATAACAGCAAGCCAGTGAAGACGCCTCAAGATCCCGGCCTGAAGCTAACCAAGAACATGTGTGAACAAGAATGCAAGCACGAAGACACCATGTGCAACGTGCCATATCGAAGTGCTGTCGGAGGCATCATGTATCTCATGGTCGCCACAGGTCCGGATCTAGCTGCTGCAGTGGGATCATTATCCCAGTTCTCGTCCGACCCATGCCCGACTCACTGGCAAGCTTTGAAGCGTGTGCTGAGATACCTGCAAGCAACGCCCAATCATGGTCTTGAGTTTACACGTGAAGAAGGAAGCCGTATCTGCGGGTACACCGACGCAGACTGGGCCGGCGACATTGAGTCAAGACGAAGTACAAGCGGCTATGTGTTCATGATGAACGGAGGATGCATCAGCTGGAAAAGCCAGAAACAACGGACGGTCGCGCTATCTTCAACAGAAGCAGAATACATGGCGCTTTCCGAAGCAACCAAAGAAGCAGTGTAGCTCAAGGTGTTGTTGAGGGAACTTGGTGAGATGACAAGCGACGAAGCGATCAAGATGTATGAAGACAACCAAGGATCAATCGCTCTCGCCAAGAACCCGGAGTTCCATAAGAGAACAAAACACATCGACATACGCTACCATTTTGTGCGTGAGAAGGTGGAATCAGGTGAAGTCGTTTTGGAGTATTGCCCGACTCAAGATATGCTGGTAGACATGATGACCAAGCCGATCGCCGCTGTACAATTTGAAAACATTCGCGATCGACTTGGGATCCAAGGTGCCGCAGCTAACGAGTCGAGAGGGAGTGTTGAAAAGACAGCGGCTGTGAAGAATGTTGAAAAGACAGCGGCTGTGAAGAAGACACCTCGTCAAGCTGCGTCAAGTGTTGAAGCAAGTGGAAGACCAAGCTTCGCTATACCGGTGGGTACCGGTATGTACCAGTAAGGACGAAGTCAGGAAATGACGTCATTGGATGACGTCAGTGGGTGACGTCACTGGATGACGTCATTGCATGACGTCCGTGGGTGACGTCAGTGGGTGACGTCACTGGATGACGTCACTGCGAATAATAGGCTTAGAGGTAGTATTTGTTGTAACTTGAGCGCGAGGCGAAGAGAAAACGAAGCGGAGAGACCGGAGAGAACGAAGCAGAGAACACTTGCTCACTTGAGGGAGGATTCGAAAGTGATTGATTTATAGGTCTTAACTTCTGCTTACCCTAGACTGCATCCAATCACATGGTGCATCTAATCAACCTGATTTACACGCGTCCAATCATCCTACGCGTCTAATCATCTCTGAGGTAATTACCGATGTAAAAACTATCTCGTAAGAACTACGCGCTAGGTTCGGATTGTACCGGTAACCCTCAATACGCCCCCTCAATCCGAACACGCACGGATGCCAAGCGCCGCCGTCAAGTCCTTGTGACGCGGTCCGTGAAGTCCCTTCGTCATGATGTCCGCCAACATCAACGTCGTCTCGCAGTATTCAAGCTTCACTTCGCCGCGCTTGACTTCATCACGGATGTGATGGTACTTGATGTCGATGTGTTTAGCGCGGCCGTGGTTGACCGGATTCTTCGTCATCTTGATGCACGACTGGTTGTCTTCACGGATGACGAGCTCGGGTCCTTCTTCGTTTGCAGCCGCCATGATCTCGCACAGCAAGCGATTGATCCACTTGCCTTCTTGGATCGCCAGGCTGAGCGCGATGTACTCCGCTTCGCTTGTAGACAGCGACACACTTGGCTGTTTCTTGCTGCCCCAACTCACCGGAGCACCCAATAGCATGAAGACGTAGCCGGACGTCGATTTGCGATCAGCAAGGTCACCGGCCCAGTCTGCATCTGAATAGCCACGAAAGTCGATCTTCGCACTTGGCTTGTAGCAGATTCCATGCATCTTGGTGCCTTGTAGGTAGCGGAAGATGCGCTTGACTGCAACCCAGTGTTCTTCTTGGGGTTTCTCCATGAACCGTGACACAAAGCTTACAGCATAGGCGATGTCCGGTCGCGTTGCAGTCGTCAGATGCATCAAAGCACCCACTGCTTCACGGAATGGGACATCCACCTTGCTTGCAGAGTTGCTTGGAACCAGTCGAGAGCTGACGTCCACCGGACTTGCCACAGCCTTGCACTCATCCATTCCAAAGCGCTTGAGGACATCGTCGACATAACGGCGCTGACACATAGTCACGCTGCCATCTTTACCGTCCAATAACTCGATCCCAAGAACAAAGGCACACTTGCCGCTGTCCGTCATCTCGAAGCGTGTCTTGAGGTCGTTCTTGGTGCGCGCAATCATCTCGAGCGAGCTTCCAGTCACCAAGACATCGTCCACGTAGACCAGCACAAAAACACAATGGCCTTCCGAAGTCATGATGTAGAGACATGGATCGAATCCCGACGCTTGAAAACCAATCGAGCGTATGAACTCGTCGAAGGTCTCGTTCCAAACACGCGAGGCTTGCTTGAGACCGTAGATCGCCTTGATCAGCTCGAGACAGTCGAAATCACCTTCCATCTTGACGCCTTCCGGAACAGCGCAGAACACCTTCTCCTTCATCACTCCATACAGGAACGCAGTCACCACATCGAGCTGGTCGAGGGGCCATCCAAAGTGCTTGGTAATGGCGATGACCATTCGCAGCGTCACATACTTGACCACGGGCGAGAACGTCTCCGTGTAGTCGATGCCATACTTTTGGCGAAAACCCTTGGCCACAAGTCGTGCCTTGTATTTCTCGATCGACCCATCCGCCTTGCGCTTGATCTTGAAGACCCACTTTGTGCCAATGGCGCTTTGTCTGTTGGGTAACTTGGCCGCACGAAAGACACCGCGAAGCTTCATCGAATCGAGCTCCGCATCAATTGCCTTGCGCCAGTGTACTTGGTCCGGGCCAGACACTGCTTCTTCAAATGTCGACGGCTCCGAAAAATCGACCGCTGCTTCGACGGCGTTTGCACTCGCATGCCAAAACGCGGAGGAAGTCGGTGTGTCATGTTGTTCCTCCGACTTCCTTTCTTCATCTTCGTTGGCTCGACGTGAAGAGAGGTCATCCGGCGCACTTGACTCTTCCAATCCGGGTCGTTGGCGCACTGCTCGGGGCATGCTTGCGTCGTCATTGTCGTGACTGGGTTGGGCCTTGCGCTTTCCTGTTTGTTTGAAGTGTCTCGGACGCGGTTCTTTATCATCAAGATCGATCGATTCGAAGTCCAGGCCATCAACATCGTCATCGGAAATCAGCATCGACATTCCAAAGGCCGACTCATCGAAGTTGACATCGCGACTTATCATCACCTGCCCCGCTTCGATGTCGTAAACTCGATACGCCTTGGACACTTCTTCGTAGCCCAAAAACAATCCAGCCCGGGCCTTGGGATCCCACTTGAGTCGTTTCTCCTTCGGGGTCAAGATGTATGCTTGGCACCCAAAAACGCGCATGTGCTTGACACTTGGCTTAGAATTGTAGACAATCTCGAACGGTGTCTTGTGTGGAATCTTGGGTGACGGCAAACGGTTCTTCACATAGACGGCCGTCATTGCCGCTTCAGCCCAGAAGCACTTGTCCAACTTGGCATGATGGAGCATGCTACGACCGATGGTGACGATAGTTCGAATCGCGCGTTCAGCAGTTCCATTGGCTTGATGTGCGTATGGCACCGTGGTTTGTTGCTCGATGCCTTCGACTTCGTAGAAATCTTGAAGCGAGTTCGTCGCAAACTCGCGGGCTCCATCGTGTCGCACAAATTTGACCTTCTTGTTGAACTGCGTCTGTATCATCGTGATGTACTTCTTGATGCACTCTTCGCTCTCTGACTTGGAATGCAGACAAAAACCCTTCATGCATCCGCTGGCTTCATCCACGATCAGCAGCAGATACTTGCTGCCACCCAGAGATTTTTCTTCCATGGGTCCGCAGATGTCGAAGTGGAGCATCTCGAAGGTGTTGTAGGTGCGCTTGTCACGGTTGCTCGGGAATGGTTTTTGGACCATCTTCCCTTCTTGGCATCCTCGACACACACTTGATCCATTCGGCTTGGAAGGGATGTGAGCGTCCTTGATCATGTGGCTTGTCACCATCCTGCGAAGCACGTCGACTGGAGCATGGCCCATTCGCGCATGTAGATCAACAGCGTTGCTGAGTGATGTCGCATTGGCCGATCGCTGCGTCGTGCGAAGCCAGTAGAGTCCGTCTACAAGATCCGCAGCTGCCACCACTTGATTGGAATCCTTGCGAGCGACGTACATCGTATCCCCGTCAAACACCACTTGGAAGTTGCCGTGCTTGTTAATCTGCGGCACCGAGAGCAGATTTTTGCTCATGCTGGGCACATAGAGCGCGTTCTTGATCTCGATCTCGCGCTCTTCCCCGTTTGGCAGAATCACCTTTTCCACGATGGTCCCCACACCTTTGATGGCCGCCTTGTTGCCATTAGCCACCAGGATCTCGCCATCATTGCCTTCGACCAAGCTTGCAAACTTGAACTTGTCGTGGCAGATGTGATGTGTTGCCCCGCTGTCAACGGCCCACATTCCTGGTCCATTCTTGTTCGTCGAAACTCCGCATTCGAACGAAACTGCAAACGCCACTCGATCGTAGCTGTTGCCTTCATCATAATGTCGCCAGTGGACATTGTTTGCCCCGCGTCGACGACCATTGCCGCCGCGTTGGGCTCCTCGACTTTCATCCTTTTGCTTCGTCCAGCAACGCTCTGCCGTGTGCCCCACCTTGCCGCAGTATGTGCATTGGTAGGGCTTGCGCTCGGTACTGAATGCCTTTGTCGCATCTTCAGTCTTCACCGTTGTCGTTGCCGTTGTCATCTTCTCGCCTTGTCGCTTGATGTGCTCGTTAGTCAGCACCTTGACCACATCTTGCGTGCGCAGCTCTGCATTGCTCATCTCCAAGTTGAGAACCACGTTCTCGAAACTATTGGGCAGACTGCGCAGTAAGCAGATCGCAATGTCTTCGTCTTCCATCTTGGCACCGATGCTGCTGAGCTTGGCGCCGATGTTCAAGACTTCGTTGCAATGGTGCAAGACGTTGGCACCTTCCGCCATCTTGATGCTGAACAGCTGGCGCTTGAGGTAGATGCGTCCCGCCTTCTGCGACCCACCATAGAGCATCTTCAACCGCTACCACGCTGTCCATGCTTCTTCACAGTTGTCGACCACATGGTGGTAGTCGGCGTCCATGTGGAGCAACATCAACCCGAACGCGATGTTGCTCGCCTTGACGTACTCGTCGGAAGCTCGCGTGTCGGTGAAGGTTGGAGACGTTTCGCGGTTCACGACGTACCAGACTGACTTCGTCAGAAACACGCCGCGCATGTAGCGACACCAGGTTGAGTAGTTGTCCCCATCGAACTTATCGATGGAGACACTGGCCGAGGTGTTGTTGGACGACATGGCGCTTGGGCTCATAACCTGTTGTATCTTGAGCGCGAGGCGAAGAGAAAACGAAGCGGAGAGACCGGAGAGAACGAAGCAGAGAACACTTGCTCACTTGAGGGAGGATTCGAAAGTGATTGATTTATAGGTCTTAACTTCTGCCTACCCTAGACTGCATCCAATCACATGGTGCATCTAATCAACCTGATTTACACGCGTCTAATCATCTCTGAGGTAATTACCGATGTAAAAACTATCTCGTAAGAACTACGCGCTAGGTTCGGATTGTACCGGTAACCCTCAATAGTATTCAAAGTTGCGAACTAAGTACCTATTATAAATATATATTCACTTTGCGTTTTGCACTCGGACCAAGAAGTCTAAAGTTCATCACATAGATCACAGTCAAGGCAATGCTCGGTCGTGTCGCGGTCGTCAAGTGCATTAAGGCACCCACTGCTTTGTGAAACAGAGCGTCGATATTGGTCGCTGCGTTACTTGGTGGAGTCGAGGGGTGATGTCCGTTGAGCTGATGACAGCTTTGCAATCGCTCATGCCGAACCGCTTCAGAGTACCGTCAACGTAGCGTCGCTGGCACATCGTCACGCTGCCTTCATCCTTTACCGTCTCGATACCCAACACAAAAGAACACTTGCCTCTGTCAGTCATCTCGAAATGCGACATCAAGTCGTACGCGCAATCATTTCGGTCGAGCTGCCAATCACCAACACATCATCGACGTAGACCAGCAAAACACGCACTGTCCGCGCTTGCGACCTTGAAATCGATGCATTGGTCAAAGTCGGACGCTTGAAATCTGATAGAGCAGACGAGCTCATGTAAAGTTTCTTTCCACACCCGTGAAGCTTGTTTAGTCTGTAGATTGCTTTCACCATCTCGAAGCAGTCAAAGTCTACGTTGACTTCTACACCCTCTAAGACCGCGCAAAACACTGGTTCATTTATTTCACCATGCAGATAAGTTGTCACCACATCTAGTTGTTCCATCGTCCAGTAAGTACTCGTGATCACTATCACCATACGAAGCGTCACATACTTGACGCCTGGCGAGAACGTCTCCGTGAAGTCAACGTCATTTCTTGTCTTGAACCCTTATGCCACGAGACGCGCCTTGTACTTTTCGATCGATTCATCAGCCTCGCGCTCGATCTTAAACACCCACTTGGTACCAATGGTCTGCTGTCCAGCTGGCAGCTCGGTCCCTTGGAACACGCCACGTAGCTTCATTGAGTCCAACTCGGCGCAAATCGCATTACGACAATGAACTCGATCCGGACCACTACCCGAGTGTTAAAACGTTGTCAGCTCGGACAAGTCAGTACCTTTGGCTGCCTTGGCACTTGCTTGCCAAAATACTGGAGGAGATTCATCATCGTCATCTTCATCACCGCCTTTTCGCTCTTCGTCCAGATTGGCGAGAGTTCTTTAGCGCCGTTTCGCTTGATGTGACTCAAAATCATCTGGTGCACTTGCTTCTTTCAACCCGGCTCCACTGCGATTAGGAAGTGTCCGTTGATAGACTTTTTCATGGCAGTTGGAACGGCTCTTCGCTTTCTATTGTGCTTGAACTGCATGGTGCAAAGCTCATCAATGGTGTCTGTTAATTGGTGAAAAGCTTGACGACCGAAACTGGGAGTGATGCTGGGAGTCTACTCGGAAGACCGGAGAAGACACTTGGGGGGTAGATGGAAGATTGGAAAGTGATTGATTATCGGGGCTTACTACTTACTACATGATTTATATGTGGTGTACATATAAATCATGTGAAGCGTCTCATCATCCTACGCGTCTAATCAACTATGGTAATTACCGTAAGAACTACGTCGTAAATACTAGGCTGAACAGGCGGTTCGGATTGGACCGGTCACGGTTTCCAATACTGGTAGAAACCGATGACCGTCAACACGCCCCCTCAATCTGAACTCGTATGAATGCCGAGAGCCGTCGTCAAGTCCTTGTGGCGAGGTCCCGAAAGTCCCTTGGTCATGATGTCCGCCATTATCACGGAAGTCTCGCAATACTCGAGCTTCACTTCACCGCGCTTGACCTCATCACGGATGTGATGGTACTTGATGTCGATGTGCTTGGCGCGGCCATGATTCACCGGATTCTTCGTCATCTTGATGCACGACTGGTTGTCTTCACGGATGACGAGGTCCGGTCCTGGTTCGTTTGCGGCCGCCAAAATCTCGCATAGCAGGCGATGCACCCACTTGCCTTCCTGGATGGCCAGACTCAGTGCGATGTATTCCGCTTCACTCGTCGACAGCGACACACTTGACTGCTTCTTGCTTCCCCAACTCACAGGAGCACCCATCAGCATGAAAGTGTAACCCGAAGTCGACTTGCGATCAGCGTGGTCGCCGGCCCAGTCCGCGTCCGAGTAGCCACGAAAGTCGATCTTGTCGCTTGGCTGGAAGCGGAGTCCGTGCGACTTGGTCCCTTGCAAGTAACGAAAGATGCGCTTCACCGCCGTCCAATGTTCTTGCTGCGGATTCTCCATGAAGCGCGAGACGTACCCCACAGCATACGCAATGTCCGGGCGCGTCGCAGTCGTCAAGTGCATCAAAGCTCCCACAGCTTCACGAAACGGAACGTCGATCTTGGCCGCTTCGGTGCTTGCGACAAGCCGAGTGCTCAAGTCGACCGGACTTGCTGTGGCCTTGCACTCATCCATGCCGAAGCGCTTGAGGATGTCGTTGACATACCGTCGCTGGCACATCGTCACGCTGCCATCCGATTCATCCACCAGTTCGATGCCCAGTACAAAAGTACACTTGCCACTGTCGGTCATCTCGAAACGCGTCTTGAGGTCGGCCTTCGTCTGCGCAATCAACTCGAGCGAGCTGCCGGTGACCAACACGTCATCCACGTAGACCAGCACGAGCACACAGTGACCGTCGACAACCTTGATGTAGAGACATGGGTCGAACGCCGACGCCTCGAAACCGATAGAGCATACAAACTCGTCGAAAGTCTCGTTCCACACACGTGAAGCTTGCTTGAGACCGTAGATCACCTTCACCAACTCGAGACAGTCGAAGTCGCCATCCATCTCGACGCCTTCTGGTATCACGCAGTACACCTTCTCCTTCATCACTCCGTAGAGAAAGGCTGTCACCACATCGAGTTGGTCCAGTGGCCAGTCGAAATACTTGGTGATCGCGATCACCATACGCAGTGTCACGTACTTGACCACGGGCGAGAACGTCTCTGTGTAGTCGATGCCGTACTTCTGCTTGAAGCCCTTGGCAACGAGACGCGCCTTGTATTTCTCGACCGATCCATCCGCTTTGCGCTTGATCTTGAACACCCACTTGGTGCCGATCGCGCCTTGGCCTCTTGGCAGTTTTGCCGCACGGAAAACTCCACGAAGATGCATCGACTTGAGTTCCGCCTTCACAGCATTTCGCCAGTGAGTTTGATCAGGACCATTGATCGCGTCTTGAAAAGTCACAGGTTCTGCTAGGTCCATTGCTTCCACTGCGTTTGCACTTGCACGCCAAAATGTTGGAGGCGTCGAGTCGTCATCTTGATCGTAGACGCTTGCATCTTCGTCGTCATCAGACATCGTTTCTGGAGCACTTGATCGTCGTTTCTGGTGACGGTTGGAGACGTGTGCCGGCGCACTTGCTTGTTCCAACCCAGTTCGATGGCGAGCTGAACGTGACATGCCGGGTCTTGCTTCACTCTTGCGCTTGCCAGTCTGCTTGTAGACGGTTTGACGCACGTCGTCCTCGTTGATCGCCAGGAGGTCGAGGTCCAACTCCGCATCTTCATCATCGTCACTTGGTCGGTCCATCGAAAAGTCAAAAGTCGATTCGTCGAAGGTGATGTCACGACTGATCACCACTTGGCCCGCCTCAATGTCGTACACTCGATAAGCTTTTGACGCTTCTTCGTAGCCCATGAACATCCCTTCACGAGCCTTCGGGTCCCACTTCAATCGCTTCTCCCTTGGTGTCAGGATAAACGCCCGACATCCAAACACGCGCATGTGCTTGACACTTGGTTTCGACTTGTACACGATCTCGAACGGAGTCTTGTGGTCGATCTTGGGTGAAGGCAGGCGGTTCTTGATGTAGATCGCCGTTATTGCCGCTTCAGCCCAGAAACACTTCTCCAGTTTTGCATGATGCAACAAGCTGCGTCCGATCGTGACGATGGTCCTTATCGCGCGTTCTGCGGTGCCGTTGGTCTGGTGTGCATACGGCACCGTGATCTGTTGTTCGATACCATGATCTTCGTAGAAGGTCTTGATGGAGTTGGTCGCAAACCCATGCGCTCCATCGTGCCGAACAAACTTGATCTTCGTGCCGAACTGAGTTTGAATCTTGATGATGTGGTTCTTGATACAGTCTTCACTCTCAGACTTGGACCGCAGACAGAAGCCCTTCATGCAACCGCTAGCTTCGTCAACCACAAGCAGTAAGTATCTGCTGCCGCCGATCGAGACTTGTTCCATTGGCCCGCAGATGTCGAAGTGCAGCAACTCGAACACACCATATTGGCGTTTGTCACGGTTGGTTGGGAATGGTTTTTGGACCATCTTTCCTTGCTGGCAACCGCGACACACACTTGGACCAGTCGAGTTGAGAGGTGCCTTGGCGTCCTTGATCATGCCAGTGGCCACCATCTTGCGCAGAACTTCGAGGGGTGCATGACCCATGCGCGCATGCAAGTCGATGGTCCCATTGCGTGTTGCTGCATTTGCCGATCGTTGAGGAGTCCGCAGCCAGTAAAGTCCATCGACGAGATCCGCTGTTGCCACGACTTTTGTGGAATTCTTGCGCTTCACTTGCATCTTGGACCCATCGAACACGACTTGGAACCTGCCACCCTTGTTGATCTGTGGCACCGAAAGCAAATTCTTGCTCATACTTGGTACGAACAGTGCGTCCTTGATCTCGATGTCGCGTTCGTCACCATTGGGCAGAACCACCCGTTCCATGATGGTTCCCACACCCTTGATCGCAGCCTTGCTGCCATCAGCCACTGATAGTTCGCCTTCCTCTCGCTCATTCAGGCTTGCAAACTTGGCCTTGTCGTTGCAGATGTGATGCGTCGCACCGCTGTCGACTGCCCACATCCCTGGCATATTCTTGCCCGTCGAAAGTCCAGCCTCCAGCGAAACCGCGAACGCAACTCGATCGTAGTTGTCGTCGTCGTTGTTGTTGTTGGTTCGCCACTGAACGTTGTTGGCTCCGCGTCCACGAGCATTGTTGCCGCCGCGTCGAGCTCCACCTTGATTTTCGTCCTTCTGCTTGGTCCAGCACCGCTCCGCCGTGTGCCCCAATTTTCCGCAGTATGCACACTGGCGAGGTTCACGCTCGGTACTGAACGCCTTCGCCGCGTCTTCAGTCTTCACCGATGTCGTCTTGTCACCTTGCCTCTTGATGTTCGTGAGCACTCTCACGACGTCCCGCGATCGCAGCTCCGCGCTGCTCATCTCCAAGTTGAGAACCACGTTCTCGAAACTATTGGGCAGACTGCGCAGTAAGCAGATCGCAACGTCCTTGTCCTCCATCTTGGCGCCGATGCTAGCCAGCTTTGCGCTGATGTTGAGGACCTTGTTGCAATGATGCAGCACATTGCCGCCTTCTGTCATCTCCATACTGAGAAGCTGGCACTTCAAGCAGATGTGCCTAGCCTCCTGAGATCCGCCGTACAGTGTCTTGATCCACGCCCACGCAACCCATGCTTCCTCACAATCATCAACCACGTGATGATAGTCCGCGCTCATGTGCAGCAGCATTAAGCCGAACGCAATGTTGTTCGTCTTGATGTAGTCGTCACTGGCGCGAGGATCGGCGAAGGTGGGGGGTGGTCTCCCGGTTCACCACGTGCCACGCCAACTTGGTCAGGAACACGCCACGCATGTAGCGGCTCCACGTCGCGTAGTTGTCGCCGTCGAACTTGTCGATGGAGATCTTGGTGGTGGCATCATGAGCAGAGGAAATCGTGCTTGGGCTCATAACCTGTTAATTGGTGAAAAGCTTGACGACCGAAACTGGGAGTGATGCTGGGAGTCTACTCGGAAGACCGGAGAAGACACTTGGGGGGTAGATGGAAGATTGGAAAGTGATTGATCATCGGGGCTTACTACTTACTACATGATTTATATGTGGTGTACATATAAATCATGTGAAGCGTCTCATCATCCTACGCGTCTAATCAACTATGGTAATTACCGTAAGAACTACGTCGTAAATACTAGGCTGAACAGGCGGTTCGGATTGGACCGGTCACGGTTACCAATACTGGTAGAAAACCGATGACCGTCAACAGTGTCCATCGCGTCGAAGTCCAGCGCAGTGTCATCGACAACTTTTTGTGGCAGTGCCCGTGATAATCCAAACGTTGAATCGTCAAAGGTGACATCACGCGATATTACCACTTGATCTGCTTTAATTTCGTAAATGCGGTATACTTTCAGCACTTCTTTGTAACCCATGAACATCCTTCTCCAGTCTTCGTGTCCCACTTCGATCGCTTTTCTTTGGGGTCAACACGAACGCTCGGTATTCAAAAACTCGCATGTGCTGCACACTTGGCCGCAACCTTTGATGATCTCGAACGGAGTTCAGTCTTGGTACTTAGGCGAAGGCAGGCGATTCCTGACGTAGATCGCCGTCATTGTTGCCTCGTCCCAAAACACTTGTCCAGTTTTGAGTCGTGAAGCATGCTGCGGCCGATTGTCACGATGATCCGAATCTCTTGTTTTGCTTTGCCGTTAGTCTAGTGCGCATATGGAGCGGTGGCCTGCTGCTCGATTCCTTGATCATCGTAGAACGCCTTGAGCGAAGGCGTCGCAAACTCACGTGCAACATTGTGCCGAGCATATTTAACCGTGCAGTCATACTGCATCTGGACCGCCACGATGTACTTCTTGATGCGCGTTTCACTGTCGAACTTGGCGCGCAGACTGAAGCCCTTCATGCATCCACTGCTTTCATCTACTATCATCAGCAATTACTTAGCTCCAACTAACGAGTCGGCTTCCATCGGGTCACACGTGTCGATGTGCAGAAGCTCAAACGGATCATAGTGACGCTCGTTCGGGATGCTTTGAAACAGATGCTGCACCATTTCTTCTTCTTGACAACCACGACGCACGCTTGATTCGCTTGATCTTGGTGGTATCTTGACATCCTTGATCATATTCTTGGAAACCATCCTGTACAGGACCTCAGTTAGTGCGTGCCCCATACGCGTGATGATCTTCGTCTCTTGATCGCAATGTAGCATTCACGGACTTTTGCAGTGTACGAAGCCAGTCGATTCCGTCTGCAAGTTCTGTGTTGTTTGGTGTAAAAGCTTGACGACCGAAACTGGGAGTGATGCTGGGAGTCCACTCGGAAGACCGGAGAAGACACTTGGGGGTAGATGGAAGATTGGAAAGTGATTGATTATCGGGGCTTACTACTTAATACATGATTTATATGTGGTGCACATATAAATCATGTGAAGCGTCTCATCATCCTACGCGTCTAATCAACTATGGTAATTACCGTAAGAACTACGTCGTAAATACTAAGCTGAACAGGCGGTTCGGATTGGACCGGTCACGGTTACCAATACTGGTAGAAACCGATGACCGTCAACACGCCCCATCAATCCGAACTCGCACGAATGCCGAGAGCCGTCGTCAAGTCCTTGTGACGAGGTCCCGAAAGTCCCTTGGTCATGATGTCCGCCATCATCACGGAAGGCTCGCAATACTCGAGCTGCACTTCACCGCGCTTGACCTCATCACGGATGTGATGGTACTTGATGTCGATGTGCTTGGCGCGGCCATGATTCACCGGATTCTTCGTCATCTTGATGCACGACTGGTTGTCTTCACGGATGACGAGGTCCGGTCCTGGTTCGTTTGCGGCCGCCAAAATCTCGCATAGCAGGCGATGCACCCACTTGCCTTCCTGGATGGCCAGACTCAGTGCGATGTATTCCGCTTCACTCGTCGACAGCGACACACTTGACTGCTTCTTGCTTCCCCAACTCACAGGAGCACCCATCAGCATGAAAGTGTAACCCGAAGTCGACTTGCGATCAGCGTGGTCGCCGGCCCAGTCCGCGTCCGAGTAGCCACGAAAGTCGATCTTGTCGCTTGTCTGGAAGCGGAGTCCATGCGACTTGGTCCCTCGCAAGTAACGAAAGATGCGCTTCACCGCCGTCCAATGTTCTTGCTGCGGATTCTCCATGAAGCGCGAAGCGTACCCCACAGCATACGCAATGTCCGGGCGCGTCGCAGTCGTCAAGTGCATCAAAGCTCCCACAGCTTCACGAAACGGAACGTCGATCTTGGTCGCTTCGCTGCTTGCGACAAGCCGAGTGCTCAAATCGACCGGACTTGCTGTGGCCTTGCACTCATCCATGCCGAAGCGCTTGAGGATGTCGTTGACATACCGTCGCTGGCACATCGTCACGCTGCCATCCGATTCGTCCACCAGTTCGATGCCCAGTACAAAAGTACACTTGCCACTGTCGGTCATCTCGAAACGCGTCTTGAGGTCGGCCTTCGTCTGCGCAATCAACTCGAGCGAGCTGCCGGTGACCAACACGTCATCCACGTAGACCAGCACGAGCACACAGTGACCGTCGACAACCTTGATGTAGAGACATGGGTCGAACGCCGACGCTTCGAAACCGATAGAGCATACGAACTCGTCGAAAGTCTCGTTCCACACACGTGAAGCTTGCTTGAGACCGTAGATCGCCTTCACCAACTCGAGACAGTCGAAGTCGCCATCCATCTCGACGCCTTCTGGTATCACGCAGTACACCTTCTCCTTCATCACTCCGTAGAGAAAGGCTGTCACCACATCGAGTTGGTCCAGTGGCCAGTCGAAATACTTGGTGATCACGATCACCATACGCAGTGTCACGTACTTGACAACGGGCGAGAACGTCTCTGTGTAGTCGATGCCGTACTTCTGCTTGAAGCCCTTGGCAACGAGACGCGCCTTGTATTTCTCGACCGATCCATCCGCTTTGCGCTTGATCTTGAACACCCACTTGGTGCCGATCGCGCCTTGGCCTCTTGGCAGTTTTGCCGCACGGAAAACTCCACGAAGATGCATCGACTTGAGTTCCGCCTTCACAGCATTTCGCCAGTGAGCTTGATCAGGACCATTGATCGCGTCTTGAAAAGTCACAGGTTCTGCTAGGTCCGTTGCTTCCACTGCGTTTGCACTTGCACGCCAAAATGTTGGAGGCGTCGAGTCGTCATCTTGATCGTAGACGCTTGCATCTTCGTCGTCATCAGACATCGTTTCTGGAGCACTTGATCGTCGTTTCTGGTGACGGTTGGAGACGTGTGCCGGCGCACTTGCTTGTTCCAACCCAGTTCGATGGCGAGCTGAACGTGACATGCCGGGTCTTGCTTCACTCTTGCGCTTGCCAGTCTGCTTGTAGACGGTTTGACGCACGTCGTCCTCGTTGATCGCCAGGAGGTCGAGGTCCAACTCCGCATCTTCATCATCGTCACTTGGTCGGTCCATCGAAAAAGTCAAAAGTCGATTCGTCGAAGGTGATGTCACGACTGATCACCACTTGGTCCGCCTCAATGTCGTACACTCGATAAGCTTTTGACGCTTCTTCGTAGCCCATGAACATCCCTTCACGAGCCTTCGGGTCCCACTTCAATCGCTTCTCCCTTGGTGTCAGGATAAACGCCCGACATCCAAACACGCGCATGTGCTTGACACTTGGTTTCGACTTGTACACGATCTCGAACGGAGTCTTGTGGTCGATCTTGGGTGAAGGCAGGCGGTTCTTGATGTAGATCGCCGTCATTGCCGCTTCAGCCCAGAAACACTTCTCCAGTTTTGCATGATGCAACAAGCTGCGTCCGATTGTGACGATGGTCCTTATCGCGCGTTCTGCGGTGCCGTTGGTCTGGTGTGCATACGGCACCGTGACCTGTTGTTCGATACCATGATCTTCGTAGAAGGTCTTGATGGAGTTGGTCGCAAACCCATGCGCTCCATCGTGCCGAACAAACTTGATCTTCGTGCCGCACTGAGTCTGAATCTTGATAATGTGGTTCTTGATACAGTCTTCACTCTCAGACTTGGACCGCAGACAGAAGCCCTTTATGCAACCGCTGGCTTCGCCAACCACAAGCAGTAAGTATCTGCTGCCGCCGATCGAGACTTGTTCCATTGTCCCGCAGATGTCGAAGTGCAGCAACTCGAACACACCATATTGGCGTTTGTCACGGTTGGTTGGGAATGGTTTTTGGACCATCTTTCCTTGCTGGCAACCGCGACACACACTTGGACCAGTCGAGTTGAGAGGTGCCTTGGCGTCCTTGATCATGCCAGTGGCCACCATCTTGCGCAGAACTTCGAGGGGTGCATGACCCATGCGCGCATGCAAGTCGATGGTCCCATTGCGTGTTGCTGCATTTGCCGATCGTTGAGGAGTCCGCAGCCAGTAAAGTCCATCGACGAGATCCGCTGTTGCCACGACTTGTGTGGAATTCTTGCGCTTCACTTGCATCTTGGACCCATCGAACACGACTTGGAACCTTCCACCCTTGTTGATCTGTGGCACCGAAAGCAGATTCTTGCTCATACTTGGTACGAACAGTGCGTCCTTGATCTTGATGTCGCGTTCGTCACCATTGGGCAGAACCACCCGTTCCATGATGGTTCCCACACCCTTGATCGCAGCCTCGCTGCCATCAGCCACTGATAGTTCGCCTTCCTCTCGCTCATTCAGGCTTGCAAACTTGGCTTTGTCGTTGCAGATGTGATGCGTCGCACCACTGTCGACTGCCCACATCCCTGGCATATTCTTGCCCGTCGAAAGTCCAGCCTCCAGCGAAACCGCGAACGCAACTCGATCGTAGTTGTCGTCGTCGTTGTTGTTGTTGGTTCGCCACTGAACGTTGTTGGCTCCGCGTCCACGAGCATTGTTGCCGCCGCGTCGAGCTCCACCTTGATTTTCGTTCTTCTGCTTGGTCTAGCATCGGTCCATCGTATGCCCCAATTTTCCGCAGTACGTGCACTGGCATGGTTCACGCTTAGCACTGAACGCCTTGGCCGCGTCTTCAGTCTTCACCGATGTCGTCTTGTCACCTTGCCGCTTGACATGCTCGTTCGTGAGCACTTTCACGACGTCCCGCGATCGAAGCTCTGCGCTGCTCATCTCCAAGTTGAGAACCACGTTCTCGAAACTCTTGGGCAGACTGCGCAGTAAGCAGATCGCAACGTCCTCGTCCTCCATCTTGGCGCCGATGCTGCTGAGCTTCGCGTTGAGGACTTCGTTGCAATGATGCATCACATTGCCGCCTTCCGCCATCTCCATGCTGAACAGCTGGTATTGAGGGTTACCGGTACAATCCGAACCTAGCGCGTAGTTCTTACGAGATAGTTTTTACATCGGTAATTACCTCAGAGATGATTAGACGCGTAGGATGATTGGACGCGTGTAAATCAGGTTGATTAGATGCACCATGTGATTGGATGCAGTCTAGGGTAGGCAGAAGTTAAGACCTATAAATCAATCACTTTCGAATCCTCCCTCAAGTGAGCAAGTGTTCTCTGCTTCGTTCTCTCCGGTCTCTCCGCTTCGTTTTCTCTTCGCCTCGCGCTCAAGTTACAACAGGTTATGGGCCCAAGCGCCATGTCATCCAACAACACCTCGGCCAGTGTCTCCATCGATAAGTTCGATGGGGACAACTACTCAACCTGGTGTCGCTACATGCGCGGCGTGTTTCTGACGAAGTCAGTCTGGTACGTCGTGAACCGCGAAACGTCTCCAACCTTCACCGACACGCGAGCTTCCGACGAGTACGTCAAGGCGAGCAACATCGCGTTCGGGTTGATGTTGCTCCACATGGACGCCGACTACCACCATGTGGTCGACAACTGTGAAGAAGCATGGACAGCGTGGTAGCGGTTGAAGATGCTCTATGGTGGGTCGCAGAAGGCGGGACGCATCTACCTCAAGCGCCAGCTGTTCAGCATCAAGATGGCGGAAGGTGCCAACGTCTTGCACCATTGCAACGAAGTCTTGAACATCGGCGCCAAGCTCAGCAGCATCGGTGCCAAGATGGAAGACGAAGACATTGCGATCTGCTTGCTGCTCAGTCTCCCGAAGAGTTTCGAGAACGTGGTTCTTAACTTGGAGATGAGCAATGCAGAGCTGCGCACGCAAGATGTGATCAAGGTGCTGACTAACGAGCACATCAAGCGACAAGGCGAGAAGATGACAACGGCAACGACAACGGTGAAGACTGAAGATGCGACAAAGGCATTCAGTACCGAGCGCAAGCCCTACCAATGCACATACTGCGGCAAGGTGGGGCACACGGCAGAGCGTTGCTGGACGAAGCAAAAGGATGAAAGTCGAGGAGCCCAACGCGGCGGCAATGGTCGTGGACGCGGGGCAAACAATGTCCAGTGGCGACATTATGATGAAGGCAACAGCTACGATCGAGTGGCGTTTGCAGTTTCGTTCGAATGCGGAGTTTCGACGAACAAGAATGGACCAGGAATGTGGGCCGTTGACAGCGGGGCAACACACCACATTTGCCACGACAAGACCAAGTTCGCAAGTTTGGCAGAGCGCAATGAGGGCGAGATCCTGGTGGCTGATGGCAACAAGGCGGCCATCAAAGGTGTGGGGACCATCGTGGAAAAGGTGATTCTGCCAAACGGGGAAGAGCGCGAGATCGAGATCAAGAACGCGCTCTATGTGCCCAGCATGAGCACAAATCTGCTCTCGGTGCCGCAGATTAACAAGCACGGCAACTTCCAAGTGGTGTTTGACGGGGATACGATGTACGTCGCTCGCAAGGATTCCAATCAAGTGGTGGCAGCTGCGGATCTTGTAGACGGACTCTACTGGCTTCGCACGACGCAGCGATCGGCCAATGCGACATCACTCAGCAACGCTGTTGATCTACATGCGCGAATGGGCCATGCTCCAGTCGACGTGCTTCGCAGGATGGTGACAAGCCACATGATCAAGGACGCTCACATCCCTTCCAAGCCGAATGGATCAAGTGTGTGTCGAGGATGCCAAGAAGGGAAGATGGTCCAAAAACCATTCCCGAGCAACCGTGACAAGCGCACCTACAACACCTTCGAGATGCCCCACTTCGACATCTGCGGACCCATGGAAGAAAAATCTCTGGGTGGCAGCAAGTATCTGCTGCTGATCGTGGATGAAGCCAGCGGATGCATGAAGGGTTTTTGTCTGCATTCCAAGTCAGAGAGCGAAGAGTGCATCAAGAAGTACATCACGATGATACAGACGCAGCTCAACAAGAAGGTCAAATTTGTGCGACACGATGGAGCCCGCGAGTTTGCGACGAACTCGCTTCAAGATTTCTACGAAGTCGAAGGCATCGAGCAACAAACCACGGTGCCATACGCACATCAAGCCAATGGAACTGCTGAACGCGCGATTCGAACTATCGTCACCATCGGTCGTAGCATGCTCCATCATGCCAAGTTGGACAAGTGCTTCTGGGCTGAAGCGGCAATGACGGCCGTCTATGTGAAGAACCGTTTGCCGTCACCCAAGATTCCACACAAGACACCGTTCGAGATTGTCTACAGTTCTAAGCCAAGTGTCAAGCACATGCGCGTTTTTGGGTGCCAAGCATACATCTTGACCCCGAAGGAGAAACGACTCAAGTGGGATCCCAAGGCCCGGGCTGGATTGTTTTTGGGCTACGAAGAAGTGTCCAAGGCGTATCGAGTTTACGACATCGAAGCGGGGCAGGTGATGATAAGTCGCGATGTCAACTTCGATGAGTCGGCCTTTGGAATGTCGATGCTGATTTCCGATGACGATGTTGATGGCCTGGACTTCGAATCGATCGATCTTGATGATAAAGAACCGCGTCCGAGACACTTCAAACAAACAGGAAAGCGCAAGGCCCAACCCAGTCACGACAATGACGACGCAAGCATGCCCCGAGCAGTGCGCCAACGACCCGGATTGGAAGAGTCAAGTGCGCCGGATGACCTCTCTTCACGTCGAGCCAACGAAGATGAAGAAAGGAAGTCGGAGGAACAACATGACACACCGACTTCCTCCGCGTTTTGGCATGCGAGTGCAAACGCCGTCGAAGCAGCGGTCGATTTTTCGGAGTCGTCGACATTTGAAGAAGCAGTATCTGGCCCGGACCAAGTACACTGGCGCAAGGCAATTGATGCGGAGCTCGATTCGATGAAGCTTCGCGGTGTCTTTCGTGCGGCCAAGTTACCCAACGGACAAAGCGCCATTGGCACAAAGTGGGTCTTCAAGATCAAGCGCAAGGCGGATGGGTCGATCGAGAAATACAAGGCACGACTTGTGGCCAAGGGTTTTCGCCAAAAGTATGGCATCGACTACACGGAGACGTTCTCGCCCGTGGTCAAGTATGTGACGCTGCGAATGGTCATCGCCATTACCAAGCACTTTGGATGGCCCCTCGACCAGCTCGATGTGGTGACTGCGTTCCTGTATGGAGTGATGAAGGAGAAGGTGTTCTGCGCTGTTCCGGAAGGCGTCAAGATGGAAGGTGATTTCGACTGTCTCGAGCTGATCAAAGCGATCTACGGTCTCAAGCAAGCCTCGCGTGTTTGGAACGAGACCTTCGACGAGTTCATACGCTCGATTGGTTTTCAAGCGTCGGGATTCGATCCATGTCTCTACATCATGACTTCGGAAGGCCATTGTGTTTGTGTGCTGGTCTACGTGGACGATGTCTTGGTGACTGGAAGCTCGCTCGAGATGATTGCGCGCACCAAGAACGACCTCAAGACACGCTTCGAGATGACGGACAGCGGCAAGTGTGCCTTTGTTCTTGGGATCGAGTTATTGGACGGTGAAGATGGCAGCGTGACTATGTGTCAGCGCCGTTATGTCGACGATGTCCTCAAGCGCTTTGGAATGGATGAGTGCAAGGCTGTGGCAAGTCCGGTGGACGTCAGCTCTCGACTGGTTCCAAGCAACTCTGCAAGCAAGGTGGATGTCCCATTCCGTGAAGCAGTGGGTGCTTTGATGCATCTGACGACTGCAACGCGACCGGACATCGCCTATGCTGTAAGCTTTGTGTCACGGTTCATGGAGAAACCCCAAGAAGAACACTGGGTTGCAGTCAAGCGCATCTTCCGCTACCTACAAGGCACCAAGATGCATGGAATCTGCTACAAGCCAAGTGCGAAGATCGACTTTCGTGGCTACTCAGATGCAGACTGGGCCGGTGACCTTGCTGATCGCAAATCGACGTCCGGCTACGTCTTCATGCTATTGGGTGCTCCGGTGAGTTGGGGCAGCAAGAAACAGCCAAGTGTGTCACTGTCTACAAGCGAAGCGGAGTACATCGCGCTCAGCCTGGCGATCCAAGAAGGCAAGTGGATCAATCGCTTGCTGTGCGAGATCATGGCGGCTGCAAACGAAGAAGGACCCGAGCTCGTCATCCGTGAAGACAACCAGTCGTGCATCAAGATGACGAAGAATCCGGTCAACCACGGCCGCGCTAAACACATCGACATCAAGTACCATCACATCCGTGATGAAGTCAAGCGCGGCGGAGTGAAGCTTGAATACTGCGAGACGACGTTGATGTTGGCGGACATCATGACGAAGGGACTTCACGGACCGCGTCACAAGGACTTGACGGCGGCGCTTGGCATCCGTGCGTGTTCGGATTGAGGGGGCGTATTGAGGGTTACCGGTACAATCCGAACCTAGCGCGTAGTTCTTACGAGATAGTTTTTACATCGGTAATTACCTCAGAGATGATTAGACGCGTAGGATGATTGGACGCGTGTAAATCAGGTTGATTAGATGCACCATGTGATTGGATGCAGTCTAGGGTAGGCAGAAGTTAAGACCTATAAATCAATCACTTTCGAATCCTCCCTCAAGTGAGCAAGTGTTCTCTGCTTCGTTCTCTCCGGTCTCTCCGCTTCGTTTTCTCTTCGCCTCGCGCTCAAGTTACAACAGCTGGCGCTTCAAGTAGATGCGTCCAGCCTTCTGCGACCCGCCGTACAGCGTCTTCAAACGCGCCCACGCGACCCACGCCTCTTCACAGTCATCAACCACGTGATGATAATCCGCGCTCATGTGCAGAAGCATCAAGCCGAACGCAATGTTGTTCGTCTTGACGTAGTCGTCACTGGCGCGAGGATCGGCGAAGGTGGGGGTGGTCTCCCGGTTCACCACGTGCCACGCCGACTTGGTCAGGAACACGCCACGCATGTAGCGGCTCCACGTCGCGTAGTTGTCGCCGTCGAAATTGTCAATGGAGATCTTGGTGGTGGTATCATGAGCAGAGGACATCGTGCTTGGGCTCATAACCTGTTGATTGGTGAAAAGCTTGACGACCGAAACTGGGAGTGATGCTGGGGGTCCACTCGGAAGACCGGAGAAGACACTTGGGGGGGGGTAGATGGAAGATTGGAAAGTGATTGATTATCGGGGCTTACTACTTACTACATGATTTATATGTGGTGCACATATAAATCATGTGAAGCGTCTCATCATCCTACGCGTCTAATCAACTATGGTAATTACCGTAAGAACTACGTCGCAAATACCAAGCTGAACAGGCGGTTCGGATTGGACCGGTCACGGTTTCCAATACTGGTAGAAACCGATGACCGTCAACATTCTGCCATTGCCATCACTTGCTCGGAGTCTTTGTGTAAATTTTTTTATCCCGGCACCATGGAACATCACTTAAGCTTTGCAGCTCTTATTGATTTGCGGAATTGACAGCAGATTTTTTTGTTCATTCTTGGGACGCAAAGCGCGTTCTCGATCTCGCGCTCTTCACTGTTTCGCGGGACCTTGCCTTGTTCCCATCTAAGACCAACGCTTGCCTTCAATGCGCTCGTCCGGAAATTTGAACTTGTTCTTGTCATGGCAGATGTGTTGCGTCGCACCGCTGCTATTCGCCCACGTCCCAGACGTATTCTTGATCGCTAAAATTACGCATTCCAGTGAAACAGCAAACACTACTCGATCGTAGTCGCAGTTGTTGTTGCTGTTGTATTTTAGCCACTGGACTTGATCCACTCCGCGTCCAGGAGCATTGCTACCGCGTCGAGCTCCCCAATTTTCTTTCTTCTGCTTGGTCCAGCAACGTTCCGCTTTCCCCAATTTACGCAGAACGAGCATCGACGAACCTCGCGCTCGGTACTGAAGGCCTTGGTCACTTCTTCAGTCTTCACCGCCGCAGACTTGGCACCTTGACGCTTGATGTGATCGGTCGTCACACATTGACAGCGTCGCGCAGTTGCAGTTTGCGCTGCTCATCTACAAGTTGAGAACGACGTTCTCGTAGCTCTTGTGGAGATTGCTTCAAAAGAAGATCGCTACGTCTTCGTCCTCCATCTTGGCGCTGATGCTGCTGAGCTTCGCTCTGATGTTGAGGACTTCATTACAGTGATGCATGACATTGCCAGTTTCCGCTATCTCCATGCCGAACAGCTGTCGCTTCAAGGAGGTCCATAAATCGCCTTCTGCGACCTACTATACAGTGTCTTCAAACGCACGCACGCAACTTATGCTATTTTGCTTTCATCCACCATACGATGAAAGTCGGCGTCCAAGCGCAGTAACATCAGTCCGAGCGAACTGTTTTTCGTCTTGATATAATCGTCACTGTCACGAGGATTCGATAAGGTTGACGTCGTCTCTTGGTTGACCACATGCCACGTTGACTTGGTCTGGAACACGCCACACATGTAGCGGCTCCACGTCGCGAAATTGTCATCAAATTTGTCGATGGAGATCCTGGTAATGGAACCTTGTACAGAGGACATCTTGCGTGGGCACATAGCCTAATAAAGTCTGACGAGCGCTGGGCGAGGATACGAAGGTTGAAGAAAGCTAAAGAAGTCTGCACCACAAAGTGAAGACGACTTGTGCTGAAGAAGGAACGTTTAGAAGTGATTGATTTTTAGGTATCAACTCTGCCTACGCTTGACTGCATCCAATCCCATGGTGCATTTAATCAACCTGAGTTACACGCGTCCAATCATCCTACGCGTCTAACCAACTCTGAAGAAATCACCGAAGTAAAAACTATTTCGTATGCACCACGCTCGAGTATTGGATTGTACCAGTAACCTTCAATGCACACCCTCAATGCACACTCTCAATGCAAACATGCATGAATGTCGAGAGCCGCCGTCATGGCTTTGTGGCGTGTTCTAGTAGTCCCTTCGTCTTGCTGTCCACCAATATATTCGTCGTCTCACAAGATTCCAGCTCGACTTTCCCGCGCTTAACCTCATTACGGATGTAATGGTACTTGATTTTGATGTGCTTCGCTTGACCATGGTTCACCGGGTTTGTCGTCATCTTGATGCAGGACTGGTTGTCTTCCGTAATCTTGAGCTTGGACTTGGACGTTCCCGCTGCGGAATCTAGGTTTCGCGCAGCAAGCGATGCACCCACTTGCCTTCTTGAATCGCCAGACTTAGAGCGATATACTCGGCTTCACTTGTTGACAATTACACACTTGGTTGCTTCTTGCTATCACAGCTCACCGGAGCACACATGATCATGAATGCGTCTCTCTAAGTAGACTTGCGATACGCATGGTCGCCAGCCCAGACTGCATCCGAGTAGCCGTAGAAGTCCACCTTGTCGTCGAGTTTGGAGCAGATGCCGTGCGATTTGGATCCATGCAAGTATCGCACAATACGCTTGACCGCCATCCAGTGCTCAACTTGCGGTTTCTCCATGAAGCGCGCAACATAGATCACAGTCAAGGCAATGCCCGGTCGTGTCGCGGTCGTCAAGTGCATTAAGGCACCCACTGCTTTGTGAAACAGAGCGTCGATATTGGTCGCTGCGTTACTTGGTGGAGTCGAGGGGTGATGTCCGTTGAGCTGATGACAGCTTTGCAATCGCTTATGCCGAACCGCTTCAGAGTACCGTCAACGTAGCGTCGCTGGCACATCGTCACGCTGCCTTCATCCTTTACCATCTCGATACCCAACACAAAAGAACACTTGCCTCTTTCAGTCATCTCGAAATGCGACTTCAAGTCGTACGCGCAATCATTTCGGTCGAGCTGCCAATCACCAACACGTCATCGACGTAGACCAGCAAAACACGCACTGTCCGCGCTTGCGACCTTGAAATCGATGCATTGGTCAAAGTCGGAAGCTTGAAATCTGATAGAGCAGACGAGCTCATGTAAAGTTTCTTTCCACACCCGTGAAGCTTGTTTAGTCTGTAAATTGCTTTCATCATCTCGAAGCAGTCAAAGTCTACGTTGACTTCTACACCCTCTAAGACCGCGCAAAACACTGGTTCATTTATTTCACCATGCAGATAAGTTGTCACCACATCTAGTTGTTCCATCGTCCAGTAAGTACTCGTGATCACTATCACCATACGAAGCGTCACATACTTGACGCCTGGCGAGAACGTCTCCGTGAAGTCAACGTCATTTCTTGTCTTGAACCCTTATGCCACGAGACGCGCCTTGTACTTTTCGATCGATTCATCAGCCTCGCGCTCGATCTTAAACACCCACTTGGTACCAATGGTCTGCTGTCCAGCTGGCAGCTCGGTCCCTTGGAACACGCCACGTAGCTTCATTGAGTCCAACTCGGCGCAAATCGCATTACGACAATGAACTCGATCCGGACCACTACCCGCGTGTTGAAACGTTGTCAGCTCGGACAAGTCAGTACCTTTGGCTGCCTTGGCACTTGCTTGCCAAAATACTGGAGGAGATTCATCATCGTCATCTTCATCACCGCCTTTTCGCTCTTCGTCTGGATTGGCACGAGTTCTTTAGCTCCGTTTCGCTTGATGTGACTCAAAATCATCTGGTGCACTTTGTTGAGGGGTGTAAAAGCTTGACGACCGAAACTGGGAGTGATGCTGGGAGTCCACTCGGAAGACCGGAGAAGACACTTGGGGGGTAGATGGAAGATTGGAAAGTGATTGATTATCGGGGCTTACTACTTAATACATGATTTATATGTGGTGCACATATAAATCGTGTGAAGCGTCTCATCATCCTACGCGTCTAATCAACTATGGTAATTACCGTAAGAACTACGTCGTAAATACTAAGCTGAACAGGCGGTTCGGATTGGACCGGTCACGGTTTCCAATACTGGTAGAAACCGATGACCGTCAACACGCCCCCTCAATCTGAACTCGTATGAATGCCGAGAGCCGTCGTCAAGTCCTTGTGGCGAGGTCCCGAAAGTCCCTTGGTCATGATGTCCGCCATCATCACGGAAGTCTCGCAATACTCGAGCTGCACTTCACCGCGCTTGACCTCATCACGGATGTGATGGTACTTGATGTCGATGTGCTTGGCGCGGCCATGATTCACCGGATTCTTCGTCATCTTGATGCACGACTGGTTGTCTTCACGGATGACGAGGTCCGGTCCTGGTTCGTTTGCGGCCGCCAAAATCTCGCATAGCAGGCGATGCACCCACTTGCCTTCCTGGATGGCCAGACTCAATGCGATGTATTCCGCTTCACTCGTCGACAGCGACACACTTGACTGCTTCTTGCTTCCCCAACTCACAGGAGCACCCATCAGCATGAAAGTGTAACCCGAAGTCGACTTGCGATCAGCGTGGTCGCCGGCCCAGTCCGCGTCCGAGTAGCCACGAAAGTCGATCTTGTCGCTTGGTTGGAAGCGGAGTCCATGCGACTTGGTCCCTCGCAAGTAACGAAAGATGCGCTTCACCGCCGTCCAATGTTCTTGCTGCGGATTCTCCATGAAGCGCGAAGCGTACCCCACAGCATACGCAATGTCCGGGCGCGTCGCAGTCGTCAAGTGCATCAAAGCTCCCACAGCTTCACGAAACGGAACGTCGATCTTGGTCGCTTCGCTGCTTGCGACAAGCCGAGTGCTCAAATCGACCGGACTTGCTGTGGCCTTGCACTCATCCATGCCGAAGCGCTTGAGGATGTCGTTGACATACCGTCGCTGGCACATCGTCACGCTGCCATCCGATTCGTCCACCAGTTCGATGCCCAGTACAAAAGTACACTTGCCACTGTCGGTCATCTCGAAACGCGTCTTGAGGTCGGCCTTCGTCTGCGCAATCAACTCGAGCGAGCTGCCGGTGATCAACACGTCATCCACGTAGACCAGCACGAGCACACAGTGAACGTCGACAACCTTGATATAGAGACATGGGTCGAACGCCGACGCTTCGAAAACGATAGAGCATACGAACTCGTCGAAAGTCTCGTTCCACACACGTGAAGCTTGCTTGAGACCGTAGATCGCCTTCACCAACTCGAGACAGTCGAAGTCGCCATCCATCTCGACGCCTTCTGGTATCACGCAGTACACCTTCTCCTTTATCACTCCGTAGAGAAAGGCTGTCACCACATCGAGTTGGTCCAGTGGCCAGTCGAAATACTTGGTGATCGCGATCACCATACGCAGTGTCACGTACTTGACAACGGGCGAGAACGTCTCTGTGTAGTCGATACCGTACTTCTGCTTGAAGTCCTTGGCAACGAGACGCGCCTTGTATTTCTCGACCGATCCATCCGCTTTGCACTAGATCTTGAACACCCACTTGGTGCCGATCGCGCCTTGGCCTCTTGGCAGTTTTGCCGCACGGAAAACTCCACGAAGGTGCATCGACTTGAGTTCCGCCTTCACAGCATTTCGCCAGTGAGCTTGATCAGGACCATTGATCGCGTCTTGAAAAGTCACAGGTTCTGCTAGGTCCGTTGCTTCCACTGCGTTTGCACTTGCACGCCAAAATGTTGGAGGCGTCGAGTCGTCATCTTGATCGTAGACGCTTGCATCTTCGTCGTCATCAGACATCGTTTCTGGAGCACTTGATCGTCGTTTCTGGTGACGGTTGGAGACGTGTGCCGGCGCACTTGCTTGTTCCAACCCAGTTCGATGGCGAGCTGAACGTGACATGCCGGGTCTTGCTTCACTCTTGCGCTTGCCAGTCTGCTTGTAGACGGTTTGACGCACGTCGTCCTCGTTGATCGCCAGGAGGTCGAGGTCCAACTCCGCATCTTCATCATCGTCACTTGGTCGGTCCATCGAAAAAGTCAAAAGTCGATTCGTCGAAGGTGATGTCACGACTGATCACCACTTGGTCCGCCTCAATGTCGTACACTCGATAAGCTTTTGACGCTTCTTCGTAGCCCATGAACATCCCTTCACGAGCCTTCGGGTCCCACTTCAATCGCTTCTCCCTTGGTGTCAGGATAAACGCCCGACATCCAAACACGCGCATGTGCTTGACACTTGGTTTCGACTTGTACACGATCTCGAACGGAGTCTTGTGGTCGATCTTGGGTGAAGGCAGGCGGTTCTTGATGTAGATCGCCGTCATTGCCGCTTCAGCCCAGAAACACTTCTCCAGTTTTGCATGATGCAACAAGCTGCGTCCGATCGTGACGATGGTCCTTATCGCGCGTTCTGCGGTGCCGTTGGTCTGGTGTGCATACGGCACCGTGACCTGTTGTTCGATCCCATGATCTTCGTAGAAGGTCTTGATGGAGTTGGTCGCAAACCCATGCGCTCCATCGTGCCGAACAAACTTGATCTTCGTGCCGAACTGAGTTTGAATCTTGATAATGTGGTTCTTGATACAGTCTTTGTTGAAAAGACAGCGGCTGTGAAGAATGTTGAAAAAACAGCGGCTGTGAAGAAGACACCTCGTCAAGCTGCGTCAAGTGTTGAAGCAAGTGGAAGACGCTTCACATGATTTATATGTGGTGCACATATGGTGCACATATAAATCATGTGAAGCGTCTCATCATCCTACGCGTCTAATCAACTATGGTAATTACCGTAAGAACTACGTCGTAAATACTAAGCTGAACAGGCGGTTCGGATTGGACCGGTGTGGTGCACATATAAATCATGTGAAGCGTCTCATCATCCTACGCGTCTAATCAACTATGGTAATTACCGTAAGAACTACGTCGTAAATACTAAGCTGAACAGGCGGTTCGGATTGGACCGGTCACGGTTACCAAAACTGGTAGAAACCGATGACCGTCAACACACTTGCTTCTTTCAACCCGGCTCCACTGCGATTAGGAAGTGTCCGTTGATAGACTTTTTCATGGCAGTTGGAACGGCTCTTCGCTTTCTATTGTGCTTGAACTGCATGGTGCAAAGCTCATCAATGGTGTTTATCGCGTCGAAGTCCAGCGCAGTGTCGTCGACAACTTCTTGCGGCAGTGCCCGTGATAATCCAAACGTTGGTTCGTCAAAGGTGACATCACGCGATATTACCACTTGATCTGCTTTAATTTCGTAAATGCGGTATACTTTCAACACTTCTTTGTAACCCATGAACATCCTTCTCCAGTCTTCGTGTCCCACTTCGATCGCTTTTCTTTGAGGCCAACACGAACGCTCGGTATTCAAAAACTCGCATGTGCTGCACACTTGGCCGCAACCTTTGATGATCTCGAACGGAGTTCAGTCTTGGTACTTAGGCGAAGGCAGGCGATTCCTGACGTAGATCGCCGTCATTGTTGCCTCGTCCCAAAACACTTGTCCAGTTTTGAGTCGTGAAGCATGCTGCGGCCGATTGTCACGATGATCCGAATCTCTTGTTTTGCTTTGCCGTTAGTCTAGTGCGCATATGGAGCGGTGACCTGCTGCTCGATTCCTTGATCATCGTAGAACGCCTTGAGCGAAGGCGTCGCAAACTCACGTGCAACATTGTGCCGAACATATTTAACCGTGCAGCCATACTGCATCTGGACCGCCACGATGTACTTCTTGATGCGCGTTTCACTGTCGAACTTGGCGCGCAGACTGAAGCCCTTCATGCATCCACTGCTTTCATCTACTATCATCAGCAATTACTTGGCTCCAACTAACGAGTCGGCTTCCATCGGGTCACACGTGTCGATGTGCAGAAGCTCAAACGGATCATAGTGACGCTCGTTCGGGATGCTTTGAAACGGTTGCTGCACCATTTCTTCTTCTTGACAACCACGACGCACGCTTGATTCGCTTGATCTTGGTGGTATCTTGACATCCTTGATCATGTTCTTGGAAACCATCCTGTACAGGACCTCAGTTGGTGCGTGCCCCATACGCGCATGATGATCATCGTCTCTTGATCGCAATGTAGCATTCACGGACTTTTGCAGTGTACGAAGCCAGTCGATTCCGTCTACAAGCTCTGCCATTGCCATCACTTGCTCGGAGTCTTTGTGTAAAATTTTCATCCCGGCACCATGGAACATCACTTAAGCTTTGCAGCTCTTATTGATTTGCGGAATTGACAGCAGAATTTTTTTCTCATTCTTGGGACGCAAAGCGCGTTCTCGATCTCGCGCTCTTCACTGTTTCGCGGGAGCTTGCCTTGTTCCCATCTACGACCAACGCTTTGCCTTCAATGCGCTCGTCCGGAAATTTGAACTTGTTCTTGTCATGGCAGATGTGTTGCGTCGCACCGCTGCTATTCGCCCACATCCCAGACGTATTCTTGATCGCTAAAATTACGCATTCCAGTGAAACAGCAAACACTACTCGATCGTAGTCGCAGTTGTTGTTGCTGTTGTATTTTAGCCACTGGACTTGATCCACTCCGCGTCCAGGAGCATTGCTACCGCGTCGAGCTCCCCAATTTTCTTCCTTCTGCTTGGTCCAGCAACGTTCCGCTTTCCCCAATTTACGCAGAACGAGCATCGACGAACCTCGCGCTCGGTACTGAAGGCCTTGGTCACTTCTTCAGTCTTCACCGCCGCAGACTTGGCACCTTGACGCTTGATGTGATCGGTCGTCACACATTGACAGCGTCGCGCAGTTGCAGTTTGCGCTGCTCATCTACAAGTTGAGATCGACGTTCTCGTAGCTCTTGTGGAGATTGCTTCAAAAGAAGATCGCTGCGTCTTCGTCCTCCATCTTGGCGCTGATGCTGCTGAGCTTCGCTCTGATGTTGAGGACTTCATTACAGTGATGCATGACATTGCCAGTTTCCGCTATCTCCATGCCGAACAGCTGTCGCTTCAAGGAGGTCCATAAACCGCCTTCTGCGACCTACTATACACTGTCTTCAAACGCACGCACGCAACTTATGCTATTTTGCTTTCATCCACCATACGATGAAAGTCGGCGTCCAAGCGCAGTAACATCAGTCCGAGCGAACTGTTTTTCGTCTTGATATAATCGTCACTGTTGTTGACGGTCATCGGTTTTATTCCAGTATCGGTAACCGTGACCGATCCAATCCGAACCGCCTGTTCAGCTTAGTATTTACGACGTAGTTCTTACGGTAATTATCATAGTTGATTAGACGCGTAGGATGATGAGACGCTTCACATGATTTATATGTACACCACATATAAATCATGTAGTAAGTAGTAAGCCCCGATAATCAATCACTTTCGAATCTTCCAACTATTGGGCAAGTGTTTTCTGCTCTACTCTCTTCGGTCTCTCCGCTCCGTTCGCTCCGCTTTCCTCGCTCCAATCTACAATGCAACAGGTTATGAGCCCAAGCGCCATGTCGTCCACCAGCAACGCCTCCATTGACAAGTTCAACTGAGACAATTACGCAACGTGGAGCCGGTACATGCGCGGTGTGTTTTTGACGAAGTCCGTCTGGCACGTCGTCAACCGTGAAGTGACTCCGACTTTCACCGACCCGCGAGCGTCCTATGACTACGTCAAGTCAAGCAACGTCGCGTTTGGTATGATGCTGCTGCACATGAACGCGGACTACCATCATGTGCTGGACAACTGCGAGGAAGCCTGGGTTGCGTGGACAAGTCTGAAGACGCTATACGGTGGGTCGCAGAAGGCAGGACGCATCTACCTCAAGCGACAACTTTTCAGTATCAAGATGGCTGAAGGCGCGAATGTCATGCATCACTGCAACGAGGTCCTCAACATCTCCGCCAAGCTTAGTGTTGTATCTTGAGCGCGAGGCGAAGAGAAAACGAAGCGGAGAGACCGGAGAGAACGAAGCAGAGAACACTTGCTCACTTGAGGAAGGATTCGAAAGTGATTGATTTATAGGTCTTAACTTCTGCCTACCCTAGACTGCATCCAATCACATGGTGCATCTAATCAACCTGATTTACACGCGTCCAATCATCCTACGCGTCTAATCATCTCTGAGGTAATTACCGATGTAAAAACTATCTCGTAAGAACTACGCGCTAGGTTCGGATTGTACCGGTAACCCTCAATACGCCCCCTCAATCCGAACACGCACGGATGCCAAGCGCCGCCGTCAAGTTCTTGTGACGCGGTCCGTGAAGTGCCTTGGTCATGATGTCCGCCAACATCAACGTCGTCTCGCAGTATTCAAGCTTCACTTCGCCGCGCTTGACTTCATCACGGATGTGATGGTACTTGATGTCGATGTGTTTAGCGCGGCCGTGGTTGACCGGATTCTTCGTCATCTTGATGCACGACTGGTTGTCTTCACGGATGACGAGCTCGGGTCCTTCTTCGTTTGCAGCCGCCATGATCTCGCACAGCAAGCGATTGATCCACTTGCCTTCTTGGATCGCCAGGCTGAGCGCGATGTACTCCGCTTCGCTTGTAGACAGTGACACACTTGGCTGTTTCTTGCTGCCCCAACTCACCGGAGCACCCAATAGCATGAAGACGTAGCCGGACGTCGATTTGCGATCAGCAAGGTCACCGGCCCAGTCTGCATCTGAATAGCCACGAAAGTCGATCTTCGCACTTGGCTTGTAGCAGATTCCATGCATCTTGGTGCCTTGTAGGTAGCGGAAGATGCGCTTGACTGCAACCCAGTGTTCTTCTTGGGGTTTCTCCATGAACCGTGACACAAAGCTTACAGCATAGGCGATGTCCGGTCGCGTTGCAGTCGTCAGATGCATCAAAGCACCCACTGCTTCACGGAATGGGACATCCACCTTGCTTGCAGAGTTGCTTGGAACCAGTCGAGAGCTGACGTCCACCGGACTTGCCACAGCCTTGCACTCATCCATTCCAAAGCGCTTGAGGACATCGTCGACATAACGGCGCTGACACATAGTCACGCTGCCATCTTCACCGTCCAATAACTCGATCCCAAGAACAAAGGCACACTTGCCGCTGTCCGTCATCTCGAAGCGTGTCTTGAGGTCGTTCTTGGTGCGCGCAATCATCTCGAGCGAGCTTCCAGTCACCAAGACATCGTCCACGTAGACCAGCACAAAAACACAATGGCCTTCCGAAGTCATGATGTAGAGACATGGATCGAATCCCGACGCTTGAAAACCAATCGAGCGTATGAACTCGTCGAAGGTCTCGTTCCAAACACGCGAGGCTTGCTTGAGACCGTAGATCGCCTTGATCAGCTCGAGACAGTCGAAATCACCTTCCATCTTGACGCCTTCCGGAACAGCGCAGAACACCTTCTCCTTCATCACTCCATACAGGAACGCAGTCACCACATCGAGCTGGTCGAGGGGCCATCCAAAGTGCTTGGTAATGGCGATGACCATTCGCAGCGTCACATACTTGACCACGGGCGAGAACGTCTCCGTGTAGTCGATGCCATACTTTTGGCGAAAACCCTTGGCCACAAGTCGTGCCTTGTATTTCTCGATTGACCCATCCGCCTTGCGCTTGATCTTGAAGACCCACTTTGTGCCAATGGCGCTTTGTCCGTTGGGTAACTTGGCCGCACGAAAGACACTGCGAAGCTTCATCGAATCGAGCTCCGCATCAATTGCCTTGCGCCAGTGTACTTGGTCCGGGCCAGACACTGCTTCTTCAAATGTCGACGGCTCCGAAAAATCGACCGCTGCTTCGACGGCGTTTGCACTCGCAAGCCAAAACGCGGAGGAAGTCGGTGTGTCATGTTGTTCCTCCGACTTCCTTTCTTCATCTTCGTTGGCTCGACGTGAAGAGAGGTCATCCGGCGCACTTGACTCTTCCAATCCGGGTCGTTGGCGCACTGCTCGGGGCATGCTTGCGTCGTCATTGTCGTGACTGGGTTGGGCCTTGCGCTTTCCTGTTTGTTTGAAGTGTCTCGGACGCGGTTCTTTATCATCAAGATCGATCGATTCGAAGTCCAGGCCATCAACATCGTCATCGGAAATCAGCATCGACATTCCAAAGGCCGACTCATCGAAGTTGACATCGCGACTTATCATCACCTGCCCCGCTTCGATGTCGTAAACTCGATACGCCTTGGACACTTCTTCGTAGCCCAAAAACAATCCAGCCCGGGCCTTGGGATCCCACTTGAGTCGTTTCTCCTTCGGGGTCAAGATGTATGCTTGGCACCCAAAAACGCGCATGTGCTTGACACTTGGCTTAGAACTGTAGACAATCTCGAACGGTGTCTTGTGTGGAATCTTGGGTGACGGCAAACGGTTCTTCACATAGACGGCCGTCATTGCCGCTTCAGCCCAGAAGCACTTGTCCAACTTGGCATGATGGAGCATGCTACGACCGATGGTGACGATAGTTCGAATCGCGCGTTCAGCAGTTCCATTGGCTTGATGTGCGTATGGCACCGTGGTTTGTTGCTCGATGCCTTCGACTTCGTAGAAATCTTGAAGCGAGTTCGTCGCAAACTCGCGGGCTCCATCGTGTCGCACAAATTTGACCTTCTTGTTGAGCTGCGTCTGTATCATCGTGATGTACTTCTTGATGCACTCTTCGCTCTCTGACTTGGAATGCAGACAAAAACCCTTCATGCATCCGCTGGCTTCATCCACGATCAGCAGCAGATACTTGCTGCCACCCAGAGATTTTTTTTCCATGGGTCCGCAGATGTCGAAGTGGAGCATCTCGAAGGTGTTGTAGGTGCGCTTGTCACTGTTGCTCGGGAATGGTTTTTGGACCATCTTCCCTTCTTGGCATCCTCGACACACACTTGATCCATTCGGCTTGGAAGGGATGTGAGCGTCCTTGATCATGTGGCTTGTCACCATCCTGCGAAGCACGTCGACTGGAGCATGGCCCATTCGCGCATGTAGATCAACAGCGTTGCTGAGTGATGTCGCATTGGCCGATCGCTGCGTCGTGCGAAGCCAGTAGAGTCCGTCTACAAGATCCGCAGCTGCCACCACTTGATTGGAATCCTTGCGAGCGACGTACATCGTATCCCCGTCAAACACCACTTGGAAGTTGCCGTGCTTGTTAATCTGCGGCACCGAGAGCAGATTTTTGCTCATGCTGGGCACATAGAGCGCGTTCTTGATCTCGATCTCGCGCTCTTCCCCGTTTGGCAGAATCACCTTTTCCACGATGGTCCCCACACCTTTGATGGCCGCCTTGTTGCCATTAGCCACCAGGATCTCGCCATCATTGCCTTCGACCAAGCTTGCAAACTTGAACTTGTCGTGGCAGATGTGATGTGTTGCCCCGCTGTCAACGGCCCACATTCCTGGTCCATTCTTGTTCGTCGAAACTCCGCATTCGAACGAAACTGCAAACGCCACTCGATCGTAGCTGTTGCCTTCATCATAATGTCGCCAGTGGACATTGTTTGACCCGCGTCGACGACCATTGCCGCCGCGTTGGGCTCCTCGACTTTCATCCTTTTGCTTCGTCCAGCAACGCTCTGCCGTGTGCCCCACCTTGCCGCAGTATGTGCATTGGTAGGGCTTGCGCTCGGTACTGAATGCCTTTGTCGCATCTTCAGTCTTCACCGTTGTCGTTGCCGTTGTCATCTTCTCGCCTTGTCGCTTGATGTGCTCGTTAGTCAGCACCTTGACCACATCTTGCGTGCGCAGCTCTGCATTGCTCATCTCCAAGTTGAGAACCACGTTCTCGAAACTATTGGGCAGACTGAGCAGCAAGCAGATCGCAATGTCTTCGTCTTCCATCTTGGCACCGATGCTGCTGAGCTTGGCGCCGATGTTCAAGACTTCGTTGCAATGGTGCAAGACGTTGGCACCTTCCGCCATCTTGATGCTGAACAGCTGGCGCTTGAGGTAGATGCGTCCCGCCTTCTGCGACCCACCATAGAGCATCTTCAACCGCTACCACGCTGTCCATGCTTCTTCACAGTTGTCGACCACATGGTGGTAGTCGGCGTCCATGTGGAGCAACATCAACCCGAACGCGATGTTGCTCGCCTTGACGTACTCGTCGGAAGCTCGCGTGTCGGTGAAGGTTGGAGACGTTTCGCGGTTCACGACGTACCAGACTGACTTCGTCAGAAACACGCCGCGCATGTAGCGACACCAGGTTGAGTAGTTGTCCCCATCGAACTTATCGATGGAGACACTGGCCGAGGTGTTGTTGGACGACATGGCGCTTGGGCTCATAACCTGTTGTATCTTGAGCGCGAGGCGAAGAGAAAACGAAGCGGAGAGACCGGAGAGAACGAAGCAGAGAACACTTGCTCACTTGAGGGAGGATTCGAAAGTGATTGATTTATAGGTCTTAACTTCTGCCTACCCTAGACTGCATCCAATCACATGGTGCATCTAATCAACCTGATTTACACGCGTCCAATCATCCTACGCGTCTAATCATCTCTGAGGTAATTACCGATGTAAAAACTATCTCGTAAGAACTACGCGCTAGGTTCGGATTGTACCGGTAACCCTCAATACTTAGCGGCATCGGTGCAAAGATGGAAGACAAAGACGTTGCAATTTGTCTGCTACTCAGTCTTCCGAAGAGATACGAAAATGTGGTGCTCAACATGGAAATGAGCAGCACCGAGCTTCGCACTCAAGATGTGGTGAGAGTCCTGACGAATGAGCATACCAAGCGTCAAGGAGAAAAAGGGACAACGACAGCGACTACGGTGAAGGCTGAAGATGCAAGCAAGGCATTCAGCGCCGAGCATGAGCCCTACCAATGCACGTATTGTGGCAAGGTGGGACACACGGTGGATCGTTGCTGGACAAAGCAGAAGAACGAAGGTCGGGGAGCCCGACGCGGCGGCAATGGTCGTGGACGCGGGGCTAACAATGTCCAGTGGGGACATCATGATGAAGGCAATGGCTACGATCGAGTGGCGTTTGCAGTCTCGTTCGAATGTGGCGTTTCGACGAGCAAGGACGTGTCTGGAATGTGGGCCGTCGACAGTGGTGCAACGCACCACATTTGCCACGACAAGACCAAGTTCGCAAGTTTGGCAGAGCGCAATGAGGGCGAACTCTTGGTGGCTGATGGCAACAAGGTGGCCATCAAGGGTGTGGGAACCATCATGGAAAAGGTGGTTCTGCCCAACAGTGAAGAGCGTGAGATCGAAATCAAGAACGCGCTATATGTTCCAAGTATGAGCAAGAACCTGCTCTCGGTGCCACAGATTAACAGCCATGGCAAGTTCCAAGTCGTGTTTGACGGGTCCAAGATGTATGTGACTCTCAAGAACTCACAGCAAGTGGTGGCGACAGCGGATCTCGTGGATGGACTCTACTGGCTTCGGACGACTCAACGATCAGCGAATGTGACAACAAGTGGAACCAGTTGTGCCGATCTACATGCGAGAATGGGTCATGCTCCAGTCGATGTACTTCGCAAGATGATCGCGACCAACATGATCAAGGATGTGCGAGTCCCTCTCAAGTCGGGTGGAGCAACTACATGTCGAGGATGTCAACAAGGGAAAATGGTCCAAAAACCATTTCCAAGCAACCGAGACAAGCGCAGCTACGATACGTTTGAGCTACTTCATCTGGACATCTGCGGGCCCATGGAAAAGGATTCGCTCGGTGGCAGCAAATATTTGCTGCTGATCATCGACGAAGCCAGTGGATGCATGAAGGGCTTTTGTCTACGAGTGAAGTCCGAGAGTGAAGACTACATCCGGAAATATATCACCATGGTACAGACGCAATTCTGTAAGAAGGTCAAGTTCGTGCGACACGACGGAGCTCGCGAGTTTGCAACCAACTCGCTTCAACTGTTCTACGAAGACGAAGGCATTGAACAGCAGACAACGGTGCCGTATGCACATCAAACAAACGGAACAGCAGAGCGTGCCATTAGGACTATTGTCACGATCGGCCGCAGCATGCTTCATCATGCCAAACTGGACAAGTGTTTCTGGGCCGAAGCAGCGATGACGGCCATCTACGTCAAGAATCGACTGCCGTCACCTAAAGTCGTGCACAAGACCCCGTTTGAGATCGTGTACAACTCCAAGCCAAGTGTCAAGCACATGCGAGTATTCGGCTGTCAGACATTTATACTGACTCCGAAGGAGAAGCGACTCAAGTGGGATCCAAAGGCTCGCGCTGGCATATTCGTGGGCTACGAAGAAGTTTCGAAGGCATATCGTGTTTATGACATCGAGGCGGGGCAGGTGGTTATCAGCCGCGATGTCAACTTCGACGAGTCCACCTTTGGACTTCAACTGCCGATCACTGATGAAGATGTCGATGACCTGGACTTCGAATTGCTGGATCTTGATGACGAAGAGCTGCGTCAAATGGAGTACAAGCAAACAGGCAAGCGCAAGAACCGACTCAATGATGAAGATACAGCAGCTCCACGACCGCGTGCAGTGCGTCAACGACCAGGACTAGAAGAGTCAAGCGCGCCGGAAAACAACTCGTCACGCCAAGAAGAAGACGAAGAAACGAAGGATTCTGGTGATTCAACACCGCCTGTGTTTTGGCGTGCGAGTGCAAATGCCGTTGAAGCAGTAGTGGACTTATCAGAACCCTCAACATTTGAAGCAGCAGTAAGCGGCCCTGACCAAGTGCACTGGAGAAAAGCAATTCATGCAAAGCTCGAGTCAATGCGACTTCGCGGTGTGTTTCGTGCAGCCAAGCTGCCCAACGGACAACGTGCCATTGGCACAAAATGGGTGTTCAAGATCAAGCGCAAGGCGGATGGGTCAATCTAGAAGTACAAGGCACGTGTCGTGGCCAAGGGTTTTCGCCAAAAGTATGGCATCGACTACACGGAGACGTTTTCGCCTGTGGTCAAGTATGTGACGCTGCGAATGGTGATCGCAATTTCCAAGCATTTTGGATGGCCCATCGACCAGCTTGATGTGGTGACAGCTTTCCTGTATGGCGTCATGAAGGAACAAGTGTTCTGCGCGATTCCTGAAGGCGTCGAACTTGACAGTACGTTCGACTGCCTGGAATTGGTGAAGTCAATTTACGGCCTCAAGCAAGCGTCGCGAGTGTGGAACGAGACGTTCGACGAGTATGTGTGCTCCATCGGATTTCAAGTATCGGACTTCGACCCATGTCTCTACATCAAGACTTCGGACGGCCATTGCGTGTTTATACTGGTCTACGTGGACGACGTCTTGGTGACTGGAAGCTCGCTCGAGCTGATTGCACAAACCAAGAACGACCTGAAGACGCGGTTCGAGATGACGGACAGCGGCAAGTGTGCGTTTGTTCTTGGGATCGAGCTTTTGGACGGTGAAGATGGCAGTGTGACACTATGTCAGCGTCGGTATGTCGATGATATCCTCAAGCGATTTGGCATGGATGATTGCAAGGCTGTGTCAAGTCCAGTGGACATGAGCTCTCGACTTATTTCAAGCAATGCAGCTACCAAGGTCGGTGCTCCTTTTCGCGAAGCTGTTGGTGCGTTGATGCACCTGACCACTGCAACGCGTCCGGACATTGCGTTTGCTGTGGGCTATGTGTCGCAGTTCATGGAAAATCCCCAAGAAGAACACTGGGTTGCAGTTAAGCGTATCTTTCGCTACCTACAAGGCACCAAGACGCATGGAATTTGCTACAAGCCAAGTGCAAGGATCGACTTCCGTGGATATTCGGATGCGGATTGGGCTGGTGATCTTACCGACCGCAAGTCAACATCGGGGTACACGTTCATGCTACTCGGTGCGCCAGTCAGTTGGGGCAGCAAGAAGCAGCCAAGTGTTTCGTTGTCCACGAGTGAAGCCGAATACATCGCACTCAGCTTGGCGATTCAAGAGGGCAAGTGGATTCATCGTCTGCTTTGTGAGATCGTGATGGCTGCCAATGAAGAAGGACCGGAACTCATGATTCATGAAGACAATCAGTCATGTATCAAGATGACGAAGAACCCAGTCAACCACGGCCGTGCCAAGCACATTGATATCAAGTACCATCACATCCGTGATGAGGTCAAGCGCGGTGAAGTGAAGCTCAAGTACTGTGAAACTGCGGTGATGTTAGCGGACATCATGACGAAGGGACTTCATGGACCACGCCACAAGGAGATGACGACGGCTCTCGGGATTCGTGAGCATTCGGATTGAGGGGGCGTGTTGACGGTCATCGGTTTTCTACCAGTATCGGTAACCGTGACCGATTCAATCCGAACCGCCTGTTCAGCTTAGTATTTACGAAGTAGTTCTTACGGTAATTACCATAGTTGATTAGACGCGTAGGATGATGAGACGCTTCACATGATTTATATGTACACCACATATAAATCATGTAGTAAGTAGTAAGCCCCGATAATCAATCACTTTCGAATCTTCCAACTATTGGGCAAGTGTTTTCTGCTCTACTCTCTTCGGTCTCTCCGCTCCGTTCGCTCCGCTTTCCTCGCTCCAATCTACAATGCAACAACTGTCGCGAGGATTTGATAAGGTCGACGTCGTCTCTCGGTTGACCACATGCCACGTTGACTTTGTTGAAAAGACAGCGGCTGTGAAGAATGTTGAAAAAACAGCGGCTGTGAAGAAGACACCTCGTCAAGCTGCGTCAAGTGTTGAAGCAAGTGGAAGACCAAGCTTCGCTATACCGGTGGGTACCGGTATGTACCAGTAAGGACGAAGTCAGAAAATGATATCATTGGATGACGTCAGTGGGTGACGTCACTGGATGACGTTACTGCGAATAATAGGCTTAGAGGTAATATTTAAAGTTGCGAACTAAGTACCTATTATAAATATATATTCACTTTGCGTTTTGCACTCGGACCAAGAAGTCTAAAGTTCATCAGGTTATGAGCCCAAGTTCGTCAGACTCTGAAACCGCCAACAATTCAAGCTTAGCTGCCATGGACGCCTCCTCCCTCCGCATCTCCAAGTTCGATGGAACTAACTTCCACGCCTGGAAGTTTAAGATGCAGATGGTGCTGGAGGAACGGGACCTATGGGAGGTCGTCAGCGGTGAGATCAAGGCGGAACAGTGCGAGACTCAGTTGGACCAAGCGACGTACAAGAGGAAGTCAAGAAAGGCGATGGCAGTGATCTGTCTAGCCATGGAAGATTCCCAGCTACCGTTGGTCCGGTCGGCAAGTGGTGCATGCGACGCATGGTCAAGGTTGGAAGACCACTTCGAGAAGAAGAGTCTTGCCAACAAGCTGTTCTTGCGCCGTCGCTTCTTCACGACAATGATGGAAGAAGGCGACGATGTGCTCGAACACATCAACAAGCTCAAGACGCTGGCGGAACAGCTAGAAGCGGTGGGGGCTCCAGTCTGCGAGGACGATCTGGTGATCACACTTCTCGGCAGCCTGAGTGACTCGTATCAATTCTTGATCACAGCTTTGGAGTCGCGCTCAGACACTCTTAGCTGGGAGCTCGTGACGTCTCGACTGCTTCATGAAGAAATGAAGCGGAAGGAGCAAGGAAGTAAAGGTGATGAAGCTTCGCAAAGTCAAGCGTTCATCACAAGGGACAATCAGCGCAAAGGGCTACCAGTGAAGAAGTCCTGGCCGTGCCACAATTGCGGAAAGATTGGTCACTGGATGGCGGAGTGCCCCTCGCGCATCCAAGAAAACACGGAGAGACACCGGCCACAGCGTGCTCATGACAGCGGCGATCGCTATCGATCACAACGTGCAAACGTCGCTCAAGAAGAAGACTCGGGCGACTACCTTTTTTCGATCGGTGAAACGACATCTGCGAAATCGAGCGACATCTGGCTGGTCGACTCCGGGGCGACGCAGCACATGACGTGCTCCAAGAAGTTCATGCGGAACTACAAGGGGTTTGACGATGTGGATGTCCATCTCGCGGATGATGGAATCGTCAAAGCAATCGGCAGTGGGGACATTGTCATGTCGATGAAGACACCCCAAGGGATGAAGAAAGGTGTGCTCACAAACGTGTGGCACATTCCAAAGTTATCCAGAAACCTGTTCTCGGTCGGCCGCTTCACCAAGGATGTCGGCCCAGTGACGTTCACGAAGGATGGGTGCTATGGAGAAGCGAAAGGGATCAAGTGGAAAATTGGTGCCCGTGAAGGTAAAGGACTGTTCAAGCTGCAAATGACTCCAGTGGCGCCGGAACAAGCAAATGCAGCGAAGTCGTCGGGATGTCAAGGGGACACCAAGTCGTACCTCTGGCACCTTCGGCTTGGCCACATAGGTCACGATGGACTCAATTGCATCGTGACGAAGAACATTGGAATTGGCATCGACATATCTTCGGTGAAGAAGTGGGACGTGTGTGAAGGTTGATCTCTGGGAAAACAGACTCGAGTGCGCTTCCAATCAAACACTACAGCTCGCACCTCCAAACTCCTCGAAGTGATTCACAGCGATGTATGCGGCCCGATGCAGACGTCAACTTTCAGTGGCAAGCGCTATTTCGTCACGTTCATCGACGACAAGTCAAGATACTGTGTCGTCTATCTGCTCAAGAGCAAATCTGAAGTTGCGGCGAAGTTCATGGAATATGCTGCGATGGCTGAAACGCAAACCGGAAAGCGCGTGAAGTACCTTCAAAGCGACAATGGGGGTGAATACAAGTCCAACAAGCTGGCACGATTCTGCGCGGAACGGGGAATACAACAAAGGTTCACAACCCCATATACTCCTCAGCTAAACGGAGTAGCTGAGAGAATGAATCGCACGCTGGTCGAGTGTGCGCGTTGCATGATGGAACACGCTGGACTGGGAAAGAGCTACTGGGGTGAAGCAGTGATGACGGCGATGTTTCTTCGAAACCGCTGTCCAACACGTGCCATTCACCAAGACAAGTCTCCATATCAAGTGTGGACGATGAAGAAACCGATTCTGGCCAACCTTAAAGTGTTTGGATGCCACGCGTATGTTCAAGTGCCTCAAGACAAACGCGCGAAGTTCGACTCCAAGTCATCACTCTGTCGTTTCCTGGGATACGCCGAACACCAGAAGTCATATCGATTTGAGGGAAGTGTCAACAGGAGCGATCAAGATCAGTCGCGATGCCACATTCATGGAAGACAAGTTTGATGAAGGTCCGCGCAACTACAACGATCAGTCAAGTGCCGTTGAGTTTGATGATCAAGACGAGGACGAAGAAAAAGAGAAGAAGGTAAAACTGACGTCGACATGGACTCGAGCGACGATGACAACGAAGACACCAGGTCTCTCGAAGAGCAACATCAAGAGACACACGCGCACTCAATCACTTGAGAAAGCTACCGTCATTCCAAGTCCCAAGCGAAGAACGTACAGAGGTCCGTCGCTTGAGCATGTGTCAGCGGCTGCAATGGATTTTGAAGCAGCCTACATCGTTGATTCAGTGGGGGAAACGCCGACTACATTCAAGTCGGCGATGGAATCGAGCGACTCCGGCAAGTGGAAAGAAGCGTGTGACTCGGAGTTCGACTCGCTTCAGAGAAACGACACGTGGGAGATCGTGCCTCTTCCGAAAGGTCGCAAGGCCATCGGGTGCCGATGGGTTTTTCGTGTAAAGGAGAATCAAGATGGCGAAGTTGAACGTTTCAAGGCAAGACTTGTGGCCAAAGGATTCTCACAGAAATTCGGAGTTGACTATGAAGAAACTTTCGCACCGGTGGCCAAGTTCACATCGATTCGTGTGGTGCTCAGTATGGCGGCTAAGTACGGCCTAATGCTACATCAGATGGACGTCAAGACAGCGTTTCTTAACGGCTCCCTCAACGAAGACATCTACATGGACCAGCCGGACGGATACCTGGATGCAACACAGCCGGACTATGTGTGCAAGCTAAAGAGATCACTCTACGGCTTGAAGCAATCGCCTCGCATGTGGAACCAAACAATCGATGGGTTCATGATCAAGATGGGATTCAAGAAGTGCGAATCGGACCACTGCATCTACATCAAGGAGACGACCAAGACATGATTCTCGTGGTGCTCTACGTCGATGATCTCATCCTGGCCAGCAGCAACAACGAACTCCTCAAGTCGACCAAGATGGCGCTGAGCAAACGCTTCGAAATGACGGATCTCGGTGAGCTCGATTACTTTCTCGGCATGGAGATCAAGAACGACCGTAAGACGGGAATGGTGACTGTGCAACAAACCAAGTTTCTCAAGTCCGTGTTGACCAAGTTCGGAATGGATAACAGCAAGCCAGTGAAGACGCCTCAAGATCCCGGCCTGAAGCTAACCAAGAACATGTGTGAACAAGAATGCAAGCACGAAGACACCATGTGCAACGTGCCATATCGAAGTGCTGTCGGAGGCATCATGTATCTCATGGTCGCCACACGTCCGGATCTAGCTGCTGCAGTGGGATCATTATCCCAGTTCTCGTCCGACCCATGCCCGACTCACTGGCAAGCTTTGAAGCGTGTGCTGAGATACCTGCAAGCAACGCCCAATCATGGTCTTGAGTTTACACGTGAAGAAGGAAGCCGTATCTGCGGGTACACCGACGCAGACTGGGCCGGCGACATTGAGTCAAGACGAAGTACAAGCGGCTATGTGTTCATGATGAACGGAGGATGCATCAGCTGGAAAAGCCAGAAACAACGGACGGTCGCGCTATCTTCAACAGAAGCAGAATACATGGCGCTTTCCGAAGCAACCAAAGAAGCAGTATGGCTCAAGGTGCTTTTGGGGGAACTTGGTGAGATGACAAGCGACGAAGCGATCAAGATGTATGAAGACAACCAAGGATCAATCGCTATCGCCAAGAACCCGGAGTTCCATAAGAGAACAAAACACATCGACATACGCTACCATTTTGTGCGTGAGAAGGTGGAATCAGGTGAAGTCGTTTTGGAGTATTGCCCGACTCAAGATATGCTGGCAGACTTGATGACCAAGCCGATCGCCGCTGTACAATTTGAAAACATTCGCGATCGACTTGGGATCCAAGGTGCCGCAGCTAACGAGTCGAGAGGGAGTGTTGAAAAGACAGCGGCTGTGAAGAAGACACCTCGTCAAGCTGCGTCAAGTGTTGAAGCAAGTGGAAGACCAAGCTTCGCTATACCGGTGGGTACCGGTATGTACCAGTAAGGACGAAGTCAGGAAATGACGTCATTGGATGACGTCAGTGGGTGACGTCACTGGATGACGTCATTGCATGACGTCAGTGGGTGACTTCAGTGGGTGACGTCACTGGATGACGTCACTGCGAATAATAGGCTTAGAGGTAGTATTCAAAGTTGCGAACTAAGAACCTATTATAAATATATATTCACTTTGCGTTTTGCACTCGGACCAAGAAGTCTAAAGTTCATCACAGACTACCATCACATCGTCGATGACTGTGAAGAGGCGTGGGTCGCGTGGGCGCGTTTGAAGACGCTGTACGGCGGGTCGCAGAAGGCTGGACGCATATACTTGAAGTGCCAGCTGTTCGGCATGGAGGGGGAAGGCGACAATGTGATGCATCATTGCAACGAAGTCCTCAACATCAGCGCGAAGCTCAGCAGCATCGGCGCCAAGATGTAGGACGAGGACGTTGCGATCTGCTTACTGCGCAGTCTGCCCAATAGTTTCGAGAACGTGGTTCTCAACTTGGAGATGAACAGCGCAGAGCTTCGATTGCGGGCGTCGTGAAAGTGCTCACGAACATCAAGAGGCAAGGTGACAAGACGACATCGGTGAAGAATGAAGACGCGGTCAAGGCGTTTACCGAGCGTGAACCTCGCCAGTGTGCATACTGCGAAAAATTGGGGCATACGATGGACCGATGCTAGACCAAGCAGAAGAACGAAAATCAAGGCGGAGCTCGACGCGGCGGCAACAATGCTCGTGGACGCGGAGCCAACAACGTTCAGTGGCGAACCAACAGCAACTACGACGACAACTACGATCGAGTTGCGTTCGCGGTTTCGCTGGAGGCTGGACTTTCGACGGGCAAGAATATGCCAGGGATGTGGGCAGTCGAAAGCGGTGCGACGCATCACATCTGCAACGACAAGACCAAGTTTGCAAGCCTGAATGAGCGAGAGGAAGGCGAACTATCAGTGGCTGATGGCGGCAAGGCTGCGATCAAGGGTGTGGGAACCATCATGGAACGGGTGGTTCTGCCCAATGGTGACGAACGCGACATCAAGATCAAGGACGCACTGTTCGTACCAAGTATGAGCAAGAATTTGCTTTCGGTGCCACAGATCAACAAGGGTGGAAGGTTCCAAGTCGTGTTCGATGGGTCCAAGATGCAAGTGAAGCGCAAGAATTCCACAAAAGTCGTGGCAACAGCGGATCTCGTCGATGGACTTTACTGGCTGCGGACTCCTCAACGATCGGCGAATGCAGCAACACGCAATGGGACTATCGACTTGCATGCGCGCATGGGTCATGCACCCCTCGAAGTTCTGCACAAGATGGTGGCCACCGGCATGATCAAGGACGCCAAGGCACCTCTCAACTCGACTGGTCCAAGTGTGTGTCGCGGTTGCCAGCAAGGAAATATGGTCTAAAAAAACCATTCCCAACCAACCGTGACAAACGCCAATATGGTGTGTTCGAGTTGCTGCACTTCGACATCTGCGGGCCAATGGAACAAGTCTCGGTCGGCGGCAGCAGATACTTACTGCTTGTGGTTGGCGAAGCCAGCGGTTGCATAAAGGGCTTCTGTCTGCGGTCCAAGTCTGAGAGTGAAGACTGTATCAAGAACCACATTATCAAGATTCAGACTCAGTTCGGCACGAAGATCAAGTTTGTTCGGCACGATGGAGCGCATGAGTTTGCGACCAACTCCATCAAGACCTTCTACGGAGATCATGGTATCGAACAACAGATCACGGTGCCGTATGCACACCAGACCAACGCATGTTTGTCGTGAGCCAAAATTCTCATCAACGATACATCCATAATCAGTGGGGATCATGACCGATCTGATGCGAAATTCGAGATTGTTGAGGATCGACACAGTACAATCCGGCCATATATGTTCTTCCTTTCATTGTGTGCACTCCGATGCTTTATCAAAATGATTCTGCTTCAACATCCACACCCTTGCCTCTGATCAGCCTTCAGAGTGGTCGTTCGGTTCAATCCAGTCCCTCGTCCCAGATCGCACCGTGGAAATCACCCCTTGCTACGCCCCGTCTCAAACCACGTCGCATCGCCTGGTCCTAGGCGTACTTTTCTCAAATGATTCTGCTTCAACATCCACATCCTTTCCTTTGATCAGCCTTTAGAGTGGTCGTTCGGTTCAATCCAGTCCCTCGTCCCAGATCGCACCGTTGGAATCACCCCTTTCTACGCCCCGTCTCAAATCACGTTGCATCGCCTGGTCCCAGGCGTACCTATTCCGCCAGTGGGTGACATCTTAACTGGGTGGAAGCCGATCCACGTCCCATCATTTGATTAGTGACTTTACCACAGTTACACCTTCGTCGCAGAGTCATATCCCATCACCCGGTCCCAGATCCTTGTCCCAGATTGTTCCATGTAAATCGTTCCAGATCGCTCCGTCCCAGGTCGATCCATACCCATTAGTCTAACGACAGTTGGATCGGTTCGCCGATCCCGTTAAGATCATCTTCCACCTCCGTATTGGATCTCCGAGTCTCATGGCCTCCTTTTCCACCAGTAAGCGGCGCTTTAAAGATGTGGCCACCGATCCTCGTACAAAATTTGAGTAGTGACTTTGCCACAACCGCCCCCTTTACTGAAGTCTTTTGTACAGCAATCGACCTCAGTACAGTCACTCATCAACTTCTTTCCAAGCACTCAAGTCCGTCTCATGGCCTCTCCGACGCATCCACCCACCTCGCCGATCTCTTCAGAAGGATCCACCATGTTTCTGTCTCCGGATCGCGACCTGTGGCCCGGATCGCCCGATCTCGGAGGACACACCCCTGCGGTCCCCGATCGGCCTGGGTCTCCGCGCCATCTAGACCATCCCGGATCGCAGATCCCTCGTCTGCAGGACAAGTTCAAACCTGCTCCATCGTCTTAGTCCAAGGTCGATATCCAAGCCCGATCGTCTTTCATAATCGTGTAAGTCATTCAATCGTCTTCTTTTTTGGTACTTCCATTCTTTGCAGCTTCCACGATCTCGATCCTCATCGCTCCACATCATTCAGGAAGGTAATTCACTTGACTATCTCCATACTCACATACAAAAACCTCATCCACCAGCATGTGCTACCGTCTAGCACATCTTTCAACCCCTACATCCGCATATGCTACCTCCCGCATACTTGTTCGAACTGTTAAGGTTCGTCCGACTTGCCTTCATGAGACTGCATTACGTCGAAACGGTTTCGACTCACTCGGTTCCGCTCAAACTCTTGCAAGATCGCCCCACAACTTAGATCGGCCTCGTCCACCCAACTTAGATCGGGATATCCCTTCCACTTCACCAGAAACTGCCGGTGTACTCGCCCATAACGGGTTTTTCTACCAGATCGCACGTCCAATATTGCCTCTACTTCGTATTCCCCTTCTTCAAGATCGCCATCCCAACTGTCTTCCGGCAGCAGAGCTTCATCGAAATCCAAGCGATCTGATTCCTCTATCGTAAGCTGATCCTTCGGGCGTTCAGGGAACGTCTTTACCTTTTTTAGCTTCGATATGTGTACAATCGGAAATAACCGATATGGGGTTCCAGCGATCTCCAATTTTACAGCATGATCTCCACATACGTCCGCAACTCGGAATGGCCCATGCCACATGTGCGCTAGCTTCTTCGCATATCCCTCTTTAACTCGGTCCAGGTATAGCCAAACTTGCGCTCCTACTTCGATCTCGTGTGGTTCCAGATCTTCGTTGTGTCGATCCGCTCGCTCCTGGATCGCGGCTTGTAAACGATCGTTCACTGCAGATCGGGCTCGCAGGTATTGTCTTTGGATTTTGTATCTCCACCTCTTTGGATCGCGATCTCGTGTCCCCGTATTCCCCCACTGGTAGCGTAGCCTCCAAAGTCGATCGCGGGTCCCACCCATGAATCAGATAAAATGGGGTATCCCCCGGATCCGATCTTGTGCAGTGTTAATGGCAAAGGTGAGCCGCTCAGCATACTCATCCCAGTCTCGCTGGTCAACTTCAGCCACGTACATCTTGAGCGAATGTGTCAGGGTTTGCACCATTCGTTCGGCTGTTCCATTTGCTTGTGGCCTGTAAGCCATAGTAGCACGCTGTTTTTGTCCTACGATCCGACTGAAGGCTCGAAAGAAGTCGGACATAAATCCCGGTTCTCGATCGTGCCTGATAGCCTCGCTAGCTCCGAAGCGTCGAAACACACATTCTTCGTAATTCTCCGCTATTGTTTGTGCCGTCCGAGAGGAGCTAGCCTTTGCAATCACATATCCCGAGAAAAGGTCGACCCAAATGAGCAGTTCGGTGTTCCCCTTGATGGACTTGGGCAACGACGGTATATGATCCATGGCGATGATCTGGAATGGATAGGTTGCGTGTAGATTGCCCGGGGATTTCCCATGAATCATCGGGTTTCCTTTCCCGGTCTCACAGTCGGTACATTCGCCCACATATCGTTGAACGCTCCGATACAGTCCTCTCCAATGAAATCGCGATCTGATCCTCTGATAGGTTCGGCCAATACCCTGATGGCCTCCTTCCAGACTCGTGTGATAGTGATGCAAAAATCCTGCTGCAACGTCTCAGGGATCACCAACCGCATCAAACCATCGCGATCTTCCGACTCTCTTTTCGCCATGGGGCAAAAAAATAGCAGATTGTTCTCATCGATCTCGTAATCCGGCGCCAGTTTGGCGCACATCTTCACTTCTACCGCATCCAAGTTTGATACATCGCCACTTAGATATGTCTTGAGATTGACAATCCAACGCTCTTCATCTTGAGCTTGGACAATTCGTTGAATCCTGATCCTCTGTACTATCTCCTCCTGTATCACTTCAGGTTCATGACGTATCCTCCTGGCTGATCTCGCGATCGCAGTTACCCGAGCTAGCTGACCATCTTGCTTGGGCTTCAACAATTCATCGAGACGGTTCAGAGTCATCAGATCTTGCCGATCCTCTTCAGCTACAACCGTTCTTCCCTTTTCGCTCTGCAATGCTGTGCTGGCTAGTCGATCTGCGCTCTGATTCCACTCTCGCTTCATATGCAGAAACTCGTGACTAGGCCATGACTGCAGCTTCTCCAACGCTTTGTGTCTCAGAAGCTGAAGGCCCGGTGCCTTGCAGTCGATCTCACCGCGCATCTGTCGAATCACCAGACTGGAATCTCCACACAGTATTACTCGCCCCCTATCCAGACCGGCGAGTAACTCAAAGCACAGTAGCAAGCCATTATACTCAGCTTCGTTCACAGTCAGATCGTGAACATATCTCGATTCGGCCGCCACGATCGTCCATTCGGGTAACTTCCATATCACGGCACTGAACGACCCTCCTTTCTTTTTATCCTAGCCGATCCATCGAAACTGGCCACCAGCAACTCCTCATCTGTTTCCACCGTTGGAGGAGGTATCGATATTTTGAGTCGACAGTCTTTTCGTGGGGAGATCGCAATCAGCATCTCTTCCACTTCTCCTCTCGGAGTGATACTCGCTGCTAACATGCCCAGGATTTCTTCCTCTCCTCTTTCACATTTCTTCACCTCCATAGTCCAATTTGACAACAAAGCAGCCCACCGTCCTAATCTCCCGTTGAGCCCTCGAGACTGCATCAACCAGGCTAACGTAGAATGTCGGGTCAGTACAGTGATCTCCCGCGAGGCAAGCGTAGTATAGCATACATCCAACACACGAAGTAGCGCCAGCACTTCTTTTTCTACCGTTCCGTAGTTAAGCTCATTAGGCTTTAAAGTGCGGCTAGTAAACGTCACCGGATGGTACACGCCATCGTACTCCTGTATCAGGGCCGCTGAGACAGCCCACTTGCTAGCGTAGACCACGATTACGGGGGACCGATCTGGGTCGAAATGCTTGAGCATGGGAGCTGTAGCTATCTTAGCTTTTAGCATAGTGAAAGCAACCTTGGCTTCCGTCCATCGACCCTCGTTGGAGCATTCGTCTCCTGCTGCAAGCTGAGATCGGCCGATCTCGAAGAAATCCGATTCTCTTAACTCATACAACACCGCGGCATACACCGCGAAATCCTCAATGAAGCGACGGTAGTAGTTCAAGCTCCCGAGAAAGGATTGCATAGCTCGTAGCGTGCTAGGAAACGGGATGTTAACCAACGACTCTAGGTTCTTGGGCTGAGCCTCCAGACCATCCATCGACACTCGATGTCCCAAATAATCGACCTTACGGCACCCCCAAAAGCTCTTCGTGAGGCTGATAGACAGATTCCACTTATCACATGCCTCCAGCAACCGTTCTACTTTTGTGTACAAAGATCCCCATGACGTGGCTGGTATGAGAATATCGTCAATGTAAGATCGGCGTCCCAGTATAGACGGTCGTCGATCTGTCTCAGGTTCTCCATCTTTGAACACGTCGATCGGGCCATCAGAAGCTGATCTCTGGCCGATCTTGAGATATCCATACAACGCATTGTCCACCAGACGTTGGTAGATCTGGGGCGCGTTCTTAAGCCCAAAAGGCATTCGCAGCCACTCGAACAAGCCAAACGGTGTGACAAACGCTGAGATCAGTTTTGCTCGTTCAGTCATTTCGACGACCCAAAATCCACTAGCCATGTCTAGCGAACAGTACCATAGAGCTTTATCCAGATCTTCCAACAGATCGCTGATCAACGGCATGGGATAAACCATCAGACGCGTCAGCTGGTTAACTCTTCGATAATCAATGCAAAGGCGAATATCCACTCCGTTCTTCTTGATGATCACCACTATCGGAGACGCCCAAGGTGACGTGGATGGCTGAACGATTTTGGCTGCTAATAGTCCTTTGATGAGATCTGACAGCTTCTCCCGATATTTGGGTGCGACCGGACGCACTCTTTGCGCTATCGGTGCTGCCCCACCGACATCAATATCACAGATCGCGCCTCGTGCTGCGGGTGGTAGAGCATTACCTTTACCCATGAGGAGGTGACGGCTCTTCCAGATCAGCGATCTGAGCCGTTGTTGATCTGTGGTGAGAGGCACATCGGGATCACCGATCTGAATGTCCTCAATCGTAACTTCTTCCGTAGTCGCCGACATCTCTGGTAGCACGGCCATATGCTGCTCGATATCTTCCGCAAACAAATCTCCGCTCTCGTGGTGATAAACTGGTATTTCTGCAATCTCGACGTCTTCAGTATTTAGCATTATTTCTTCTTTAGGCTCCTTCGTCTCTTCCGGCTGGCCCAATTTCAACAGTCGGTCAGTCGGCTCAGCCTTCGGTAGAGACGATCTGTCACGTAGCCCTTCTTGCCCGGTGTCGCGGTCTCCCTTCGTTGCATGTTGGGTACCGATCTCATGACCGTTCTCCATCCGCGATAGTTCGGCTCCCCTGACCGTTACTTCCCTCGCAACTACAGCATCTGCCTTTTGCGAATCGTCATCGTTAGCTTGCGACGTTACCGTGGAGATCGCCGGAGACAGGTTCTGTAACGCATCAGACGGACGTTTCAAGATGCGTTTGGGAGCGGCATACGTAGGACGATCTACCAATGGTCCGATCGGTTCTTTCGGGAGTTCGTTCACTCGATCCGTTGTAGCCTCATATGCCAGAGTTTGCCATTCCTTGTACTTCCCCGACCCGACTGTCACCAAACCTTGAGTTCGCGGTACCATATCGCCTTCGGCCCACATGCCTAATATAGTGTGGGTGGGCAGTATGATCTCCCGGTCGCCAATGTTGGTCATCTGCAGGTATTTCGTCTTACCCCACCCCGAGATCACAGTGGGGACCCAATATAGTCCTCTAGCGACCCACAACTTCATCTTAGCCCCTCCGATCCCGATCTTCACTTCCCTTGACTCTCCGACCGGGATCACCACGTGTTGGTCCTTTGCCGTTATATGTTGTATCTTCGTTCCGTACGCGGGGCGACGTCCTGCGAGATGAATGCGGATTTCTTCTGGTAGACATAGCGCGCCATCCGCTAGATCGAGCCGCACTCCAGCAGGCACCATAAAATCCATACCCAGAATCGCTTCTTGCCCTGCCAGATCGCCTACCCATACATTGAAATAGTATACCAGCGATCCCGCGAGGGTCACCTTGATCTTGGTACGTCCTACCGTCATGTACGGAGTTTCTCCAATCCCGATACATTCTTGTCGTTGACTTTCGTCAATATTGCAACCGACCTCACGAGCAAAGGTGGTGTCAATGATCGACACTTCAGCACCAGAATCAAATAACAGAGTAGCTTTTACGTTGTTGATCTTGCCAACGGCTTTCGCTTGTTTGAACCACTTCCCGGGTGAATAATGTTTCCAGTATCCGCGAGATTCACCATAAGCGAGCTCGATCTCCATAGCTGGTTCAGATCGTGAGTACTCATCGATCCGCTTCAGATGGGACACGGAAGCGACACGTTTTAACTTCGAACGAGATATATTTGTTTCCACGTCAATATCCTGCTTACTCTCGCGATCTGTCTTCTTTTTTTTCCACGTATGCAATAATGCAGAGCCCAGAACGCTCGGCTCGTACCAGATTCAAACCTGGCGAGCGTCCTAGTTTAACATCTTCTCGGCCTTCTCTGGTAGCATCCCCGCATGCTTATTCGGGACGTACCACTGACGGATCATGTTGTAGAACTCCTCCATGGGACACTTCCCCGGGTCGTGCATCTCACCGCAAGCACGACACACGAAAAAACAATTGTCAGAGGGGTGTCCTTTACGCCCACACTTCTGGCAAGTGAGCCGCTTCCAGCAACCGAGATCTCCATGCTTGGTCGATCCGCAATGAGTACACGGCTTCAATGGCATATTGCGATCTTGATAGTCTTGACGAGTGTTCGGGTCGACCGATCTCGCGTTTGCTGCAACGTCATTGGGGGATGAACGGCGATCCGCAGTAGCAGCCACATGGATCGATCTCAATCGATCTTCCAAATCCGATCCGCAGGTGTCCGATCCTGACTCGCTGCAGACGTCCTCGGTACGGACCATCCTTACCGCTCGTGCAGGCTTAGACAGCGCTGGACCCTGAGTTCCCTTCTGCCTGAATTTGGACGATCCCATCATCACTTTCCCTTGACGCGATCTCCCTTGTTGATATCCGTGCAGTGTCTTTTGCATGGCCTCCGCGTCTTCTACATTCAGCAGTAGCAATTGATTGGACAGATCGGGGTCGTCCAAGGTGTCAATGAAATGATTGACATGTTCCTTGCGCGCAGCTGGCAATCCAGTCATCACCGGTATCTTCGCCTGCATTCCCATCACATTAAGCCGATACAGGTACTGTAAAGGATCTTCCTCCGATCGTTTCTTTGCATGGTAGTACTGCCTGCTCGCGGACATCCCGTGTCCCGCATACTCCACAAGAAAACTGTTCATCAATTCTTTCCAATTGAATCTCGTCGATCTACTCAGCTGTCGGTACCAGTAGCGGGCTGGGCCCACCATGAGATCACCGAAGACCAGACATCTCTCCTCGTCCGGTGCTTGGTCCCGGATAAACGCTGATTTCACTTTGCCGATCCAGTTTCGTGCTTTGTCTTCTTCCCGATCCTTCCCTGAGAATTCTTTCAGCTCAGAAATCGCTGAGATTCTGATCCTCTGCGTGATGCTTCCCCCTCCGGTAGTCGCACCGGTCGCGGCTACATGAGGGCGCCGTGGTTCGGGCATCCATAGATCATCCGGGTCGTATTCCGCCGCCTCATGGATATGTTGGTAAATGTCCGACCCCACCGACTCCATCTCCACATCCGGCATGTCAAGGCTTTCGTGTGAAGGTTGGAGCAAAGTACGTCGATCTGGGTAGCGGTTTGGCTGTCGATTCATTCGCTGAGCTGTACGTTGATCCGCCTCGTACTTCTTCATGGCTGAATTGAAGTACCGACTTAGATCGCCCTCTTCTTGATCCTCCAGCCCAGTGCGGGTACTGGCCGATCTCTGCGGCATGTTGCTCTTGGCTTGTCCCTTATAGGCGTCGATCTTGGCTTGTCCGATCTTGTCCTTTAAGAACCTTCCACCCGATGGTCCTAGAGACATCTGACGAATGCTGATGGATCCATCTGACTCGCTCTCGGAGTCATCCGAGGCGTAGCGGGGCGATCCCGCGGGGTGTTTACAGAGCGAGCCCGAGGGCGTCCCGATCTTGTCTTCAGGAGTATTCGCTTTGCCCACCAGCATTATCATGATCTCTACAAACTCATTCGCCGCGTCCTTCAACTGTTCCAAGCTGCAACTATGCAGTTCATCTCCATCAAAAGCGTCAGGGCAGATACCCATGTCGTCCAACATCTGCAAAATCACATTGATCTCGTCGACTTTGTTGGTCCCGTGAAGTGGGACCGAGATCGGCTTATCCAGAGGGCCAATCACCTTGGGCCTTAATTTCTTGAACACTGGGTCCGTCTTGAGCAGCGTCTTCAACTGGCCATAATAGTACTGCCATTTTGCACGCTCCCGCGCTTCACCCGTCGTCTCCTTCTCCCTGGACGCGATCTTTATTGGGTTATATTCCGTCTTTGGCATCGCGATCTTATCTGGTGTTTCATCGTATTCCTCTTTGGCTCCGATCTTCGATTGCACGGTTCGGCCGATCTGGCGATCTTTGACATCAGATCCCATCGATCTCGTCGCGGATCCTTCTGATGTGGTCGATCTCGCGATTGTGCTCTTCGGCTTGAGGTCGGGCGATCTATCGACTAAGATATAGGGTTTGGCTTTCGCCGATTTGGTTTTCACCGTTGGATTTTCATCCAGCAGGTCGCTCTTTGCAGAGCGATCTGCGGTGGCCCCCGAAGGGACCCTAGGAGGGAATTGAGGTTTATCTTCCAGATCGATCTCTCGATCTTCCTCTTTCATTTTCATTTCATCAGAGCCCCTCCCAAAACTCTGATGATCTGAGGATCTTGTGCTTCTGCGTGTCTGCGTCGATCCCTTTGTCGCTGACACTTCAATCCCCAGGTTCTTGCTTAATCTTGACATCTTCGCCAGTGGACTCACGGTGAAATCCAGAGGCCTCAGAAGATCCGGGCACGCGCACCATTGTGGTGAAGTCGATCTCACAAAATTGCTTGTATGAGTGTCGATCTTCCACTTGCCCCAGACTTGCCGACTCACGGAGGGGTACTCCGATCCGTGCCTTGTTGTATGACCTTGTGCTCACCTTGTGTACCCGTCGGTTGGGCTGGCTTGAGCTCTTCGTAACGGCCTTGGGAGATGTCGATCTCGCTGAGAGGTTGGGTTGAGGGTTCGCTTCCGGTGCGGAAATCTTCACACCACGAACGGGGGTTCTGCGATCCCGATCTTGGATCGCACCGATCTTGATTTGTCTTCGAGATCGGGGTCTTTGCTGTGCGGAAATCTTCACTCAGCAAATAAAAGTCCTGCGTCGATCTTGCCTTGGGATCGGTCCGATCTGGTCTTGGGATCGGCCGATCTTGCCGGAAGTGCGCAATTTGGGTAGATCGGTGTCTTGTTTCGCCAAAATGAAACGTGCCGATCTGTCCAGGGGATCGCTTCGATCCTGCTCGGTCTTGTCTTGAACGCCTTGTCCAGATCTTCTGACCACTTGAGCCGTCTCGCGATCCTGTGTCCAAAATCCTTTTCCTTTTCCGTTGTGTGCTGCTACCCTAGCAGTTGAGTTGAGTGTGAGTACTTGATCGATCCGGGCCAGATATCCCGGATCGCTCTTCTCGATCTTGGCCAACAATCCAAGATCGGTCTTCTGTGTCCCTGTAACACGCGTGCCTTAACCCGCCGGGGAAGCCAAATCAATCTTGCCTGGAGAAGAGGGGAGGATAACGTGCGTCGTGAGCAGAAGAAGTAGAGTTCAAGTCTGTTTATTAACCAACCAAATTACTATCCAACCTACCCTTAAGCCTATTCTTAACTATAGGTCACTCTTCAAACCGATATCGCCTTGAATCTGGATCGCCCCCTTGCCACGTGTCTAAATTTCGTGCCTTGTACTCCAATGATAGTGCCAATATTTCCGATACCGTACCTGAACGCCAAAAGAGGACCAAATCCCAAATGGGGTACCAAATACCCATTTTAGGTACCCAAAAGCCCAAAATAGTGCCCAAATGCCGAAGGCGTCTAAATCCATATTGCGACGTCAATTTAACCGGCTTCCACTGGCTCTTTCGATCTGAACTTTTGAGACATCACTCATGGACCTTCTACAAGCATGTTTGTCATGATCCAAAATTCTCATCAACGATACATCCATAATCAGTGGGGATCATGACCGATCTGATGCCCAATTCGAGATTGTTGAGGATCGACACAGTACAATCCGGCCATATATGTTCTTCCGTTCATTGTGTGCACTCCGATGCTTTATCAAAATGATTCTGCTTCAACATCCACATCCTTGCCTCTGATCAGCCTTCAGAGTGGTCGTTCGGTTCAATCCAGTCCCTCGTCCCAGATCGCACCGTGGAAATCACCCCTTTCTACGCCCCGTCTCAAATCACGTCGCATCGCCTGGTCCCAGGCGTACTTTTCTCAAATGATTCTGCTTCAACATCCACATCCTTTCCTTTGATCAGCCTTTAGAGTGGTCGTTCGGTTCAATCCAGTCCCTCGTCCCAGATCGCACCGTTGGAATCACCCCTTTCTACGCCCCGTCTCAAATCACGTTGCATCGCCTGGTCCTAGGCGTACCTCTTCCGCCAGTGGGTGACATCTTAACTGGGTGGAAGCCGATCCACGTCCCATCATTTGATTAGTGACTTTACCACAGTTACACCTTCGTCGCAGAGTCATATCCCATCACCCGGTCCCAGATCCTTGTCCCAGATTGTTCCATGTAAATCGTTCCAGATCGCTCCGTCCCAGGTCGATCCATACCCATTAGTCTAACGACAGTTGGATCGGTTCGCCGATCCCGTTAAGATCATCTTCCACCTCCGTATTGGATCGCCGAGTCTCATGGCCTCCTTTTCCACCAGTAAGCGGCGCTTTAAAGATGTGGCCACCGATCCTCGTACAAAATTTGAGTAGTGACTTTGCCACACAAGCAAGTGCGCCAGAACACGTTTTCAACCTGTTGACGGTCATCGGTTTCTACCAGCATTGGTAACCGTGACCGGTCCAATCCGAACCGCCTATTCAGCTTAGTATTTATGACGTAGTTCTTACGGTAATTACCATAGTTGACTAGACGCGTAGGATGATGAGACGCTTCACATGATTTATATGTGCACCACATATAAATCGTGTAGTAAGTAGTAAGCCCCGATAATCAATCACTTTCCAATCTTCCATCTACCCCCAAGTGTCTTCTCCGGTCTTCCGAGTGGACTCCCAGCATCACTCCCAGTTTCGGTCGTCAAGCTTTTACACCCCTC